CACACAAGCAAGATTGTTTAAGATACATGCCGTTCCTGCACTGCTTGCTAGAAGACAAATTACTTGTGGAAAGCTAAATTATTTTACTGATGTAAATGTAACAGCCTTGCCCCTACATGATTTTGTTTTGTCAGTAGTTTAACTGACAAAAAATGTCTAATTAGCTGCAACTCACCATCTGCTGTTCCATGAATAAGGAGATACTCAACTTGTGTGAAATTTTTGGCTCTGGCCATGACTGTTGAACTCTGAAATTAAAAAAAAAAAAAGTGCTATTGTTCAAGAAATGGTTTGCCAGCAACTGATTTTCATTTCAGTTAACATAACTAGTGGTCCTCTGAATAAAAATAAATAAAATAACATTCAAATGTGTTGTACTTTACATGGGAACATTCACAATGTGATTCTCAATTTGGGATGTTCATGTGCAGAGTGTCTGCAAAGTAACTTGCATTACAACTCCAGAGGGATGGAGTTATAAGAAAGGCCCCCATGCAATGCATTGCTGACATGCTGTTACTAGCTCACAGCCCTGTATTTGCTATGGGTTTCCAGTGCTATGCAGTAATCCATTAAAAAATGTATTACCGTGACAACATTACTTTTTAATGTAGCGTGTACATTAAATGTAGCATTAAATGTAGGGTGTACAGCTATTTCTGAGAGACTGTACAAGAACTTTCCTCCGCAAAACATACACTACTATATATCTATGGCTATCTCAGGATATATAGAACCTCTTATATCTAAGTGACAAATTTAGATGTATACTTATTGGCTACGTCTACACTGGCACCCTTTTCCGGAAATGAACAGTTTTCCGTTATAAGTATTTCCGGAAAAAGCGCGTCTACATTGGCAGGATGCTTTTCCGGAAAAGCACTTTTTCCGGAAAAGCGTCCGTGGCCAATGTAGATGCGCTTTTCTGGGAAAAAGTCCCAATCGTCATTTTCGCGATTGGGGCTTTTTTGCGGAAAAGACTACTGTGCTGTCTACACTGGCCCTTTTCCGGAACAGTTTTTCCGGAAAAGGACTTTTGCCCTAACGGGAGCAGCATAGTTTTTCCGGAAAAACACTAACAATTTTACAGTAGATCGTCATTGCTTTTCCGGAAAGCAAGCGGCCAGTGTAGACAGCTGGCAAGTTATTCCAGAAAAGCGGCTGCTTTTCCGGAATAAGCGGCCCAGTGTAGACACAGCCATTGAGTGTGTAAAAGATGTTTAAAAAATTGAAGGAATATGAAATACAAGAAGAAAATAACACTGAACCAAAGCCATATCTGAAGCTAGGTCACACTTTGGAAGCAGAAAAATACTGACATGAGAAAGCAGTTACTAAGATTAATAATGGCAAATTTAAAACACTGACTACATACAGTATGTTAACTAGCAATATGATGATTGCTGGGACTTGCAATTACAACTCGAGAATTGCTATAAAGAAAAGAGGAAATTCAGGCTGAAGAAGAGATCATTTATATGTACAAGGAAGGGTATAAGACATAGTTTGGATATGTACATTAAGATCACAATAAAGTAGGCCTAGTGAGAAATATAACATATACGCGCAGCTGATTTAAAAAAAAAAATGTGAAAGCAAATTTTCATGCATTAACAATATTTAATTGCTCTTTTGCTAATCCTTCTTGAATCTTTTTGTACTACATATATAAAATACATATCATGAGGAGCATACGTGTAAATGCTTGTCTTTTAGTAATGATATATTTTATTTTAATATCTGAGAAAATTAGATCTATAGAAAGAATTCTCATAATTTTAGATCTAAAAGTCAAATGTCACATGCTACGAAGAAACTATAATATGGAGTGTTTCTCATTTACACTTACTCCTGTTTACATTGTTCTATTAAAGTGACCTTAAAGTGGTTTAAGTATTATTTATTCCCACTTTAAGGCCACTTTTTGCCATTATAGTAATGTAATAAAGTTTACCTGCTGTAAATTGCAAATAAACACAAAATAAAATTGTATTGCATGCTCAACAAAATAAACTATTAACTGCTCCAACTTTCACTATCAAACTCAGAATAACTGCAGAAGAGGGATCTGGAAGGACAGATCAATTGTCTGGAAACCAATGACATACTTAAAGCTGGATACAATAGTGCTAGAAACAAGAGTATTATTATTTATTATGTTCATGTGAGAAAAAAACATCCTAGAAAATATCAAAGTTGGAAAGTTGACAGTCATGGCAAGGTAATTCTGCCCGGAGAAACATGAGTACAGTAGCATTGAGAGAGAACGAGAAATAGGAAGCAACGGTCCACTGGCAAAACCAATTAAGCAGCATTCACTGGCTGGAACATTTTCCATAGGCGCAGAGAAGCAGCACCTCCAGCTGATTGTTTAATCATGTTTGGAGCTTCTTTCCAGCAAATCAACCTTTATTATTTATAAAGGGGGTGAGAAGAGGGATCAGTGTGGTATGGGGAAGGAGATGCATGATTTGGTCAGTTATTTCCTTCTGCCTTTACTCTGTGACTTTCAGGCCTTATACTTGATCAACTTTGTAAATCTGACATTAGCTTTCAAACACCACTTTTCTTAGCCTCTTTCCTCTCAGTGTGAACATTAGACAATATCACTTGTAAATATTCCCCCAAAATTAGAAGAACACAAAACTCATATAACAGCAACTGCTTTCCCAATAGATTATCCTTTAACCCTGGGTATTTACGGTTGGCTGTGGTTGTATTCTGCTTTTACATGCACTGGACCAAACCCAGAGAACAGCCTATGACCTGCTTACTTTGAACAATGGAGGTTTCAAAGTCAGGAACACTCTCAAGTTATATGGCCACCTCTGCAAGACAGCTGATGCATTGAATCAGGGCCTAAGACTCACTTAAGTGTAAATAAATCCAATGTAGCAGCATGGCTACTTGTTTTCATGGGTTGTATTGCAGAAATCACAGTTCTCAGGGCCATGTCAGTGGAAGTGTTCAGCTCTGGGCCACACTGAGCATAACTGGCTTCGCTAAAGATCACACAGCAGTCACCGTTTTATAAGAGCTCAACAAACAAGTTAAGGTTTGGCTGATATCTGAAGGTCTCTCTCCCTTTGGCATATTCTCAGCTAATAGAACAAATGTCAAATCAGTACAAGATGGCATATTTACAAAATTGTACCCTGTTTTGCATAACCTAATGATGCAGCAGTTCTTAAGGACTGAACATTTCAAATCTGCTAGCAAAAGATTGCCAAATCTATGACTGTTTCAAACACTTGCCAACAGCATATCAAATTCAGAGTGAACTGCAAAAAAATCTCCTTCACGAGCTGAACAGTCCCTTTTTGTAAGCTCTAGGCTACTGCTTTCTCTGATTTCTAAGGCTCTGGTTCCTGTCATGATCTCTCCAATAAGCCCTAGGACTTGCCCTAGGTTGGAGGCCCAACTCCTCCTCCCCACAACCACCCCCATTCATCAGCCTAGGGCTTGCACTCTTTGTATTGGTACCCATCTCTCACATGTTACAACTTCCATTAGCTCCAGGGACTTTTCAAGCCTCCATCATTAGACAAGACTCTTTGGCTATGTCTACACTGGCGGCTTATTGCACAAGAACATCTTGTGCAAGTGTTCTTGTGCAAGAAGTCTTGCACAAGAAAATGTCCACACTGCCATGTGCAAGCTGTGATTTTGCTCAAGGGCGCCCATGGCCCTCTCTTGCGCAAGAAAGCATTTTAGCCATAGGGCTTTCTTGTGCAAGAAATCCCTGCTGAGCATCCACACTGCCCTCTTGCGCAAGAGCTCCTGCACAAGAGGGCTTACACCTGTTAAAAAAGAATGTAGCTTTTGCGCAAGGAGCCGTCTCTTACCATGCCGTACTGTAAATTTCCTTGCACAAGAGCGGGCGGGCAGTGTAGACGCTCTGAGGATTCTTGTGCAAGAACGGCCGTACTTGTGCAATAACCCGCCAGTGTAGACACAGCCTCTAGGTATCCAACAGAACAAAATAGGCCCTATTTTATTCTCATTTTCATGTGTGTAACTCCATTATATAACCTCCACAGAATGGAATAGAACAAAACTGGTCTCCTTCCACTTTTTGAGCCATACCTCAGCCCTACTCCTGTTGTCTCACACAACTTTGCTACCAGTTCTAGCAATGCTCGCCCCTTTCTTTGTCAACTCTCTTATTTTCATACTTCAAGGTAAAAATAGCCATTACACCTAATTAGCTTGTTAGCAGGATGTGAGTTAAAATCATCCCTCTAGCTTTCTTCTGAGCATCAAAGGGGAACATGCATCTCAAAAATAAGTTCAATTCTAACTATATAGTTGGAACAAATGTTGAGATGTGTGTGAAGGAAACAAGGTGAGAACTGATCCTAATGCTCTAATTAGAGCAGCCCGGTGTTACACACAAGATCAGGGCTCAGCTTCTGGTTCCAGTCACTGTCCCACATGTGAGCAATGGCTTGGCTGTCAGCACTACTGGGGACAGAGCCTTTAGTACTTAGAGGAGAAGGAACTTCGTTTTGTTACTACCTTTCTGGATGATATAAGGGCAGTTTTGATTAGTCTGTATCAGCACTCCTGGACCATAAAGAAAGGGCTTTGAAGGGCTACTTGCTGCATGGGGTCAGCAAAGTTCCAGAAATGAGGTTCTTGGGAGCAGACAAATTCTCCAAAATTAATACCTGGGAGTACTGCATAGGCAAAGGAACAGAACAAATTTTGATTCTCATTGCACACAATGAACAAAGACTTTAGTCAGACTTTTCAACCTTTAGAGCAGTGGTTCCGAACCTTTTCCAGATGAGGACCCATTTTGACAATTCAGGAAGACTTTGTGACCTAAGGCACTTCAAAAATGGGGAGAGGAGAAGGGACAGAGCTACCTGCGGAGACACGTGGTAACCCTTTTGAAATGTAATGGCGAGCCATATTTGGGTCCCAACCCATAGCTTGGGAAACCCTGCTTTAAAAGAAGGTGTATAATGTGGCAATATGATCTGTATCCTCACCCTCTTTTCCATCTAGCCACCATCTTCCCCAATTAGTCCTCTGAGTAACACATTTAAAACCTTTAGCTCTTGGTACTGGCAGTTTCAACATGGCCATTGCCAGTGAGGGATGCAGTGCCAAGAAAATTCGACTCCTGGCATGAAAGGATCAAACAGTCCTCTGGTGCCATCTGTGCCGTGAAGTTGGAGAATGACTTTGTGCACCCAGCATGTAAATGTTGCATTCTGTAGCAAGAATGTGACTTATATTTACATTTCTACCTAGCTGAGCTGCTACAGTTCTCACTGCCTTAAAAGGAACGTACTTGAGAGAAAAAAGGCCAAAAGGAGCGATGCTAGAGCTAACAGCTAGCAAAAAAGCAGATCTGGTCAGGTAAGGAGGCCATAATCGAGCCTGATCTATTCCCCGTAGTAATGGAGCCATGAAAAGTCAGATTTGGTTCACAGTCTCTTCCACCACTTACAGCAGCTTTCAAGTGACCCAGGCCATTGCCACCAGAGAGCTTACATTGACTATATAAATGAGATGGGTCCTCAAAGCAGATATTTCAGTGTATCTGAATACTGTAGTTCACGGCATAATCACTGCATCTCATAATGAGCACAATTTACCATTCTTTTCCAGTAACCCAGCGGTGGTTTAAGACTAATTGTGTTCTGAACTCACCAAAACGAATAACCCTTCACTCCCTGTCTCCAGATGCACACTTCCCCACTCTAGTTCCTCTCACAATGGGCTCCTTGATTCTCCCGTATCAGCTCCTCCCAACAAACTCACTCTGGGAACCAAATTCATGCCTAAACTGCTGAGGTGATCAGGGCTAAATAGATGCATTGCTTTCATCTAGGGGCTTGTTATAAATTGGTTTGAGCTATTGTGCCCACAGGCAGCCGTAATATGTGCCTCATTGCCAAGTGCTCTCATAAGCCATTTTGGCAGGTAGGGTATAGGAACACTCCAGCCATTTCTCCAGTTCCACAAGCTATGCTGACTCTACTCCTACCAGAGAATCCCCCTACATCTGTGCAAATCCCTGGAATTAATTTATAAAGATGTTTTATGCCCCCCTAATGCTTGTTATTGGGTGGTCAGCGGTGGTCCTATCCCTAGTGTAATTTAGTGAAGGCTTAGAGCTCCCCCTCCCCACATCTCTAAGGGATTATTCAGGCTGCTGGAGATAGCTGCTCTACAGGGCAATGTGGTCCTGATGATTTCCTTATTCAAAAAAAAGAATCCATGTACACCATGAGCTGGGGAAGGTGGCCTAAAGCAGTATTTCTCAACCAGTGGTACGAGTACCCTCAGAGGCACTTGAGAGAAGTCTGGGGGGTATGTCAACACACTGAAATTTGGAGAAAAAAATCAGTTACATTCTATAGTGCTTTATTATTTTTGTATTTTTTATACCCAGAAATGTCATGGCCCTCCCGGCTACAATTAAGTTGTTTAAACAAATGTATTGCAATGGTAGAAAAAAATGTTGCATGTCTGAAAACTGTAGGTACTGGGGGTACTTATAAATATTTTTTTTTTAAAGAAGGGGGTACTTTATACGAAAAGGTTGAACAACACTGGCCTACAGTGTCTAGGCTGACTCAATGACTATTCCACTGTGCTAGGGAAACCCCAGTTCTGTGGTTAGGCCAGAACTATAACAATTTTGTGCTGACAGAGTAGGGTCCAAGGCCCCTGGATTTCGTTTCCCCACTGCAGAATCTGAGGATTCAATTCAACCTCAGTAGTGTTTAATCCAACAGGAGGAGTGCTGCTCTCTTGAAAATGCATTGCAAGTCTTTGGAAAAAATCAAAACCAAAACTAAACAAAAATACAGAACTGTTTCTAACTCTCTGAAGCATGGAGAAAAAAATTAAAAATTTGAAGTGAAACATACAGACTCAGAACCAGAAGGCATATTAAGAAACTACCTATCTATCTATCTCATTACTTTTAAGATAATTTCTCTTTTTTTTTTTTTTTTTTGGCACCCGAGTCACGATTTTTGACAGCTGGAGGTCTGCAATACTGCAAGAAAGTGTTTCTTAATGTTTCATGACATTGCACTTTGTCTGTAGTTTTATAAAGAAACTCGCAGTATTAGAGTTATTGTGACTGTCTAGGGTAAAGGAGTCCTAGGAGTTTTAATTTAATTTTCTTCCGGCCCATGACAGTTTTTGTGGCATGACACAAGGATGGATTCACTCTAAATTTAACACCATCTACACAAATAATCTGGAAAATGCATGTTTTAAAACCTCAGAAGACCATAGTGACTTCATTTTGATTGAATGTGTTTGTTTAAGACACAGCATAGTCCCCCACTAGCAGATCATATTTTTAAATTGAATCAATTCCTTGATAACTGAAATAATACCATGATTTACATTCTTTGATGACATCTTGTAAAATGTCCAAATCAAACAGATTTTTTAACATATAGTGTATTCCTGGGGTCAGTGGTAACAACTTAATTCTAAATCCAGGAAGAAGTAACACTAGAACTCCTAAAAACACAGTGTAGAACAAATTGGCTTGTTAATAAGTAACTGAAGAAGTTATTCTGGATTAAATTGGAAAGCATTAATAACTTCAGGGACAAAATGTGCTTCAGGGACAAAATATATTTTAATCATGTTAAAAAGGAATTAAGCACTATCTTCTTACCTCATAGTTTTTCAGATTATCACTTGCTACAGGAAGACCCATATAACGCTCTGTATATATTGAATCTGTAAGATTAAAAGTGTGAATACAATATAGTAAAAGGCTTCTATTTTTGTAAGCGCTTTTGTCTACCTGAAAGTCCACATGTTCTGTAACTCAAAGACATATGGAATGCATTACCATTTCGGAAAAAGTCACCATTTTACCTGATGAATTTCACAAGGTATCCATAATCATTAAGAATATTTAATGTTGCTGTTGCCATGGACACCTGAATGCTGAATATTAATAATCACCTTGTATCAATGGTACATTACATGTTATGCTTTCAGTAATCATAAGGAAATTGCTGAGATTCTAACATTTACTGATTTCTAAAAAATCATCCAGATAAATGGTCTAAGGTATTGAGAACTTAATGATCTTAAGAAAGGAAACTGCCAAAATTGGCTTATTTTCTGATGGATGAATTAGGCCTTATTTGCTTTATCTTTATCTTTGTATTGAGTATCTCATGTTTTCTAGAGAGCTACATGTTTTCTGAATTTTTTTAGATGCCAGAGTTGTTGCCTTTTTCTATGCTAAAATCCACAAACTGAGGTGCAATACTCACATTTCAATCTCTGTTTAACTAGTGATTACTCCAATTATGATAGAGAACCACCTGCATTCAAATTGCTTTGTAATTCCACTGTGTCTTTTTCAATGAGCTAGTAAATTACAATCTGGAATTTTAGTATTTCTCTGATTGCCACTCTTTGAATAGGACTGAAATGGAATATCTGCCCTAAAAGGTCATGACAATTTGAGTACAGCAACTACAGGCAACTGAAAACTGTAAAATAAAATAACACTAATAAAACTTTCTGGGCTCGAGGATTTATAGGACCAGATCCAACTCAGTTTAAAAACTCCCATTTTAGCTCAAGACTACTATCTTGATATTGCTCCTTCTAATAAACAAGCTCCTACAAGCAGTTGTAAGATAGATAGATATAAATAAGCTTTTTGTAAAAATAAACAGAACCTTGCAATAATCTGTTTTCAATTCTCCACTTTTTTCATATGACAGTATTAAAGTACCAATCATGAACAAATCAATGTACAGAAATCAATCTAAATTGGAAACACTCCTTTTACTAGCATGTGATCACAGCATTGTTTTTTGTTTGGCTCTACGAGTTATCTGTATATACAGATTTTATTTTCCAGAGAGCCATTTCTTGAGTTTTGAGCGATTTCTTCAGAGAATGAACTACAATTGTAAAATGTGAATATTACACATCCAAGGCAAATAACTTTGAGGCAATTCCCAGCTGTTGCTTAAAAATACTCTATGTCCCTTTAATAGAAACATTTACAATACACATGTTGTTATTCTTCCTATAGCTCAATCCTGTAAGCAAAGTAGTAATTTAAAGAAACAAGTACCAATAGTAATGAATTTTATGACATTCAATAGTCATTTCTCAACACTTTAGAACACATGGCAGTTTATGAATGCAAATGCAGACATTTACATTACATTTACATTACAGTAGTATTGCAAATATTACAGTAATTCTGTGCTTTATAAAGGTTAAATATATTATCTTTAATTCAGGCTCTTTTAAAATGAAAAACAGAATATGGAGAATTTGCAATACCGAACACCCCACCAAAGCAGACCAAATGACATTTATGACAGATTATCCAGTTAATAGACAAAGTCTTATTGTATGACTCAGCTCTCTGCAGCATGTCATAGGAGAATATTTGCAACTGGGAAGCCATAACGTACCATAATATTGCCACCGCGACACGGGGGCCACAGCAATTCCACACTTGAACACTCCACTTCCAGACCCAAGCACCATGGAGGTCACGTAGCCTCCATAAGACTGAGAAAGAAACAAAGCAGTTATTTTCAGGCAAAGGAAGGGAGGGGCCCATCTGCTGCACGTATTCAGGCTCTGTGGTTTTTATATTGAGACCTCCATCCCAAGGTAGGTACTCCCCCTGGAGCAGTAATATCAAGACCAAGCTTATGACTTGGAGAGTGACAGTCCCCATTTCAATCTGCTCCAGGGACCAGGTAACAGCACACTGACTGCCCTTTACTATGGGCAGATGAGAATCTTACAAACTAGATGTTTAAGTACCTGATAAGCAGGCAGCAAGATACTTAAAAGGTGTTATTTGCTGCTACAAGTGATTGCACTGATAACAGTTTAGAGGCCAGTTTTGACAATTTCCTCTCAACGTTTAAAGAGATAAGTAACTTTAGAGACTTGTCCCTATATGGCAATGGGATAACAATGGACTAACCCTCATGCAACTGTGAGTCCAGTGACTATCAATGACATTCATAGATGTAGGGACCAACATTATTGAAACCCGTTGCAGGACTGGGGGCCTTCAATCCCAGTAGAGCAAAACACTTATACAGGTTTAAGTTTTAGCACACAACCAGCCTGACAGAAATCAATGGGGCTATCAATGTGTGGCAGAATGACTGAGCTAATGGGAAGTTCTGCAAGAAGTGTGGTCTACTATGTAGTCCATGTGCCCAGAGCTAGAGAAATGAAAGCAGTGTGCACTGATCTGCACATCCACCTTGGTACACCTTGTACATCAGTCCAAGGGAAAAAAGAGGAAGCAGATTGACTGTCTCTCTAGTTCCTTCTCTTCAGGGAATCAGAGAAGATCCAAAGCAGAAGGGAAGGAGGCCAGGCAGTGGACTATAGAAAGGGTCCACACATCTCAAAAACCTACCAGTTATAGGTCAATAATGTCCCATTTTTGTCCTGTGATGGTCCCTGTTGTAGTCCATGGAGGGTGACCAACAAGCAGTAACTAATTATAAGAATGCAAGAATGTAGGTGGTAAAGCTGAGTAGAAGACCACCATTGCAAAGAAGGCACCAGCAGAGAAGTTCTGCACCAGAGCATAATGTCTTGTGAACGGAGCCCCACATGTTCAACAAAGGGGCATCTCCTGAAGTGATGCCACAGTCATTGCGTGTTCTCTGGGGGAATAAACTCTCAGTCCAGGGGGGAGAAGAGAGAGGTGTGGTAGCTGGTAGAGTAGAATTCAGCCAGAGATCCATTTGACAATTAGCTAGGTGAAGATGACAGGCCTCCTGGCTCTCTCTGCTATAATGATGAACAGCCTCAGGTATTTCCTGATTGGTTTTGTTCTCTACAAGTAAAAGGCCAAAGCCTGCCAAAAACTGAGGGAGTGGAGTCTTCATTCTTCTGAGGAATCATGTGGTTTTGGAAAGTACAAAGGTAAGTAAGCTGATTGGTGGTTAAGGTGAAATTCTGAAATTCTTCTGAGGGTTAATTTGGGATGTAGAAACAAAACAACCTTCTCCTTATGAAATATGTAAATATCATCACTACAAGCTTGCCAAGAGTGCATGGCTGTGGTGATGGCTATAAGGAAAGTGACCTTCATGGAAAAAAGAGACACGCAGCAAGAAGTTAAATGTTTGGAGGGCAGCCTTGTGAGCTATGGCTGAAGATCAGGTAAGTAAACAAACTGAAGCAGCCTGGTAGCAGCTATTTCAGAGTGGGTCCACTGTCCACTTTGAGAAACACTACACTAGAGAACATATCAGCATCTACTAAAAATTGGACATAGCCATGACTTATCAGTTTGCTTCTCTCTATGCAAGTTTGGAAATGAGCTCTGTCCTGTTGCAGAAGGCTGTCAACAAATTCTGCAAACCAGGCATAGTTCAGGGCATCATATTTAGCCATTAGTGCATGGTAACTGCCTATCCTGAAGTGGAGGTGTTTGTTTTCGCTATCCCTAGGAGTAGACTGTGGAGGTTGCTTCTAGCCCTTCAGAAGCAGCTCAGACCACCAGTGAGTTGGAAGCAGGGTAAAAAAGCCAAAGATTCTGCCCCTTTGGCTGACATGTAGTAACCTTCTCCACCTTAGTGGGAGTGCAGGGGAAGGGAGTGTATCAAAACTGTCCCAACTGGCTCCAGTGTGTCTTTATTATTAAAGAAAGCTATAGTCTGTAGATTCCAGATAAGTGGAGGATGTCTAAAAGTTTGTGCTGGGTGTCCAGGACCTCTTCGAGAAGAATCCAGAGTTCTCCAGCAATCCTGAGGTGGTGGTCCTGGACTGTCTGAAGCCATTGGGGGTGAAAGAGATGTAGAGGTCACTGCTTCCTCTGTAGTATGGGGCACAGGTCACTTGCGGGAGGATTCTCTGCATCTTGGGGTCTTTAAACCATCGTTTGAGGACTTCAGTATCTGAGATATAGGTGAGAGGATTATTCTAGCAGTGGGTGGGTAAGATTCTGTGGCCTGCATTGTGCAGGGGGTCAGACTAGATGATCATAATGGTCCCTTCTGACCCTAAAGTCTATGAGTCTATGAGATGAAGATAGCTGTCCTAATGGTTCTGGAGGTACTGCTGGATCTGGTACATAATATTCCTCTTTCTATGCAGGATCCATAGGCAGATGTGACCCTCCTCTTAGAAGGGAGGCAAGGGGTGACTCCCTAGCACAGTGGTTCCCAACCTTTTTTATGCTGAGGGCAGGAAAACCTATTAATAAACCTTTGGCAGACTGGCACTGTTGTATTTCCATATTCATTATACAAATAATGAATATGCAAATTTGCAAATAAAATGTTACTGGTCTGTCAAAAGCCCCAGCCCCTAAAGCTGCTGCGAACAGCTGTCTTCACATCCCCATCCTTCCGCCTCTTAGAGCCGCCCCCCCCCCACCATAACCCCCACTTGGTGTCAGCTGCCACCTGCCATGCAGCCCCTGCCTCAATGCGTCCTCAGCTCCAGCCCTGTGTGCCACATGGCCCCACTCCTGGGAGGTGTGCGCATGGTGGCTGGGGCCAGGACCATACTACTAAAAATAGCAACATGGCCCCGGCTCCAGTCCCAGTACATGGCGCATGCTGCGCCATGTGCCGGGACTGGAGGCAAGGTTACAGTGCTATTTTTAGTACTGTGGTCCATCCCCAGCAGCCACCATGCAGATGCGGCCTCAGCTGCTCCCAGCGGTGGGGCCATGTGGCAGACAGGGCCAGAGCCAAGACTGGAGCTGGGACAATGCTGCTATTTTTAGTACTGTGGCCCGGGCTGCAGCTCTCGTAACCTCCATGTGGGCTATGTGGTGGCTGCCCAGCTGCTCCTGGGGGGGGGCCAGGTGGCCCTGCCTCTGAGAGTAGCTGGGGCTGCAGCTGCGTGGCTCTGCTGAGGTGGTAGGCAGGGGAACCCTGACTCCAGCCCCAGCCAGCAGTTCACAGCCTGGCAGTGGGCCATGGATCACAAGCTGGGAACCGCTACCCTGACAGATCAGATTGAATCTGCAGGAGGGTATTGGTCCCAAGGCCAATAGGAAGGATCAGTAGGTGATTTTGGAGGCCCCTATAGCATGGGGTATCAATGACTGAATTACGTGAAGCAGAGGTTGGTCCCAAACTTTGCAGGTCTTCTGGATTCAGAGGATATGTAAGATGTGGGGTAGGGGAGAGAGGAGGTTCATCAGGTGGATTGTAATCTTCCGATGAAGAGAATCATAGAATACTAGGATTCTAGGACTGGAAGGGACCTCGAAAGCGATACCAGTTCTGGTATTGGTACCGTGGGAGCATATGTGATGGGAGACAAGCTCTTTTTGGTGGCTACCTCGCTTGGTGGTGATGTTACATCTCTGGAGATGGAGGGGCTCAATGGAGAAGGGGATTTCAGATCTGGGACTGTGGAGTGAAAAAGTCCTGTGGAGTGGCAACAGATTCAGATCCCCAGGGTGAGAGTCATTCTATGTGTCCAAGACACTGGAGTGCAGGAAACTGTGAAGCTGCTGACAAAGATGGTGCTATAGATAGGCAAAGTTTATGATGACTGGTCTTCATCATGGTGTGAAAAACAACAGCCTCTCTCTCTCTCTTTCTCTCTCTCTCTCTCTCTCTCTCACACTCACACTCACACTCACACTCACACACACACACAGCATTGCTGTGCACACACACACACACACACACAGCACAGCACAGCAAGTCACAGCACTGTAAAGTACCTGTGTGAAACAGGCTACAGCGCAGGGAGCTGTGTTCCCAGCACTGTTAGCTGCTCCCCTCATGGGGACAGCTCTCTTCAAGGGCACCTGCCGTGGTAACACTTTCAGTTACTTGCAGCACTGCTGCAGCTGCACTCTAAACCTGAAGTGTAGACATAGCCTACGAGAGCAATAAAATACTCACCTGTAAACTGTAAAAACTATTTACAACGTTAAATCCATTGTTATTTTATAGAGCCACAAACACTGGAGGTTCTGACCTAGACCATGGGGCAGCGAGAAGACAGCGAGATGATTAGCTCACTCTGTCCTTCATCCCATTAGACAGAAGCAGGAGGTGAGCCAGGATTCATGCACAGTTCAATGGACACTTCTTTCAAATTTTCCCACCTCACATTCATAACCCATAGTGGACTACAATAGGGACCCTCAATCAAAGAATTATAATTTAAACCCATGCTTTAAAATTAGCTGAAGGAGATTATTAGTGAAGAGCTGCCAATTTAACTCTGAAAATTAAGTTCTTTTTAGTCCATAGGATGTGTTCAAAAGCAGCAGCAGCAGCAATGCAGACTTCCTTGTATTATATGTATTGTGCATAGAATAAAACACACAAAAGTTACACCTTTATAATTGCCCAACAGAGATTCATCAAAGTAATCTGAATACTCACCCAGCCCCAAATAGCTATTCTGTTCTTATCCACAAAGCTCATTTCAGAAAATTTTCTAAATGCAAACAAAAATCAAATAAACACTTGTAGACTGCAGAGATTTTAGAATAGTAGTAATCACATGCAATTTACTGTTTTTTGATTTGCTGAAATTTTAACTTATACAACTAGGTTTGGATCATTTGGTCCAGTGATTGCTTGAGACAGAATTTAATGTTTCACCTTTTTCTGACCTTCATAAAATTTGCTGAGTCTGAAGATTTTTGTGTGTTGCTGACAGAAAACAAAACCTGGCAACTTTGTTTAAAAAAATGCTCTGCTGAGATTTAGTCTAGGTGATTTTTGTTATGATATTGGCAGTCTCGAATGTATGGAATGGTAAGGGGAGGGAGTAGGGATTACATCTGGAAATTTGGCTGTATAGGAAAGCTAAAGGCTGAAAAAAAATCCATGAAACTCAATTCACTGAAATTCCTTTTCAACAATCAAGTTCACCTCTCAGTGATACTGGTGTAATCTCATAGATGCCATTTACTTCAATTAGGTCCACCAGTACAAGCTCAATGGTGAATACTACAGGTGCAAATGCTGATTAGCTCGGCACATACAACTAGATGTCAGCCTTGATAAACTGAACATAATAATTTGTTTTAAAAATAGTCTTCTTTTTGTGCTCCATATAAATAAGTAAGTGATCACCTGTCAACAGCTAAATATTAGCAAGATAATGATTAGGAGATGGTATATAATGAACATCCAAGTTTGGAAAATCTCCCCTTAAGTGATGACTAGCAGAGAGTGACAAAAGGAAGTGTCAGCCCAGAGTAGAACTTGGGTCTCTATGTTACATATAGATTATCTTTTCTTTTCCATAATATTGCAGTGTTTTTTCTGATGAAGCAGAGCCTCCCTTCTCTGGATGTTATGATATTCCTTGTTTGATTTATACATGTACTAACAACGTAGACTGACTACTGCTCAGTAGATAAAATTAAATAGTATTTAACTACAGTTTTTTATACAAATTTCAGTATAACCATTTGAAAAACCTATTCCTTCCCCTTCCTCGATTTGTATGAGTTACTTATTGAATAGAAAGAAGAATGTCTTGTTTTATCACTTTTACAACTTCAACAGGTGGGTCATCAAGGAAGTGTTATAGTATTTAATGAAACAGTCCAGTATGTGCTTACCTAGCTGCTGAGATTTGATCCTCTACTTCATATGTTCCCAGTCTTCGATTTATTGCATGCATAATTTCGTCTCCTTGGTAGCCACTTCCTCTGCCATCAAAGCTAGCCACAATGATCTGTTCTGTACTTGCAAGGTATGTAGCCCAATTGATACGGAAGGCATAATCTACTTTCTGACTGCAGGGCCCTGCATAGCTGTGAAAGAATCCCAAGGGAGACAAACATCTGCTGTTCATTTATTCACTCATCAAGAACACGTGATAGTCATTGCTGAAAATAATAAACAGGAAAACTTAATAACTAAACTGAGCATCAGAAATGTGTGAAACCCATCCACTGCTTACCTCAAATCCCTGCTTTTACTGGGTAAGAACAGCAGTCTTAGTGGAATTATTCAAATGAGTGAGCAATGCAAGAACTGGACCTTCTTTAGGAATGTGATTGCTTTGCACTACAGTAACAACCTTGAAATGATTTTTAATAAGGGATTAAGAATCTGAAGCAAACTCCCTTTCTTTGTTTTGTCACTTTAGTTCAGTCAAACAATAGCATCACTTTGAAACAATCTATTTCTGGTACTTTGTTTAAATATTATTCATTATTTGTCTCATTAAAATGTTAAATCAACAGTAAACAGCCTTTACTTGTGAAAACAAAATAATCCATGTTGTTTCACCACACTTTCAGTGACTTATCAATGAGATTTAAAAACAAACAAAAAACTCCCCACCCCATAGAACTCCCAGGCTGGTGACTGGACCATGTGAGTGGCACTTCTTCATATCAGTGGGCTGCAAGATTGTCGTAATCACAACATGCTAGGGTAGTTTTGCTAAATGCTCTTGCACACGTAGAATTTACGAGGTGTGCCAATTGAAGCATAGCAACACTTTGATTGGATGCAGAGGGAGTGCATGGTTTTCACAGTCAATATTGTGTGCAATCAGCATGCACTTTACTTCACATGCCCTTGCTTTAAGTGGATGTCACTTTAGTACTACCAATGGGAAAAAAATATGCAGATGAAAACTAGTGGAATCTGGCAACCCTGCACATGGGCAATGGTAAACAAAATATCTCAAAGGCTACACATAGATGGTTGCCCACTACTGCTATAGACTAATCCACTGGTCCCCAACCTCTTGGGGATGCCGGGCGCCTGGGGGCGGGGCCGTGCATACGCCACACACCCAGGGCCCGGGGCACAAGAATGGCTTGGGCCGGCCCTGATCACTCGGCGGGCGCACGTAAATGCCCTGGCGGGCGCAATGGCGCCCTCAGGCACCGCATTGGGAACCACTGGACTAATCAAACTATTTCTCATGAAGGCTGGGAAGGAAGAAATGAGAAATTTTTGTTATTGTACTTTCTAGTTTTCTAAGTACTTTGGAGGCACGCAGGTACTATGGACACGGGGGCTGCATAAGTACTCACATAGATATGGTTAGATAAAACAGATAGTATCTCCTTTATATATCTATCATTCTGTTTCTGAAAGGACTAGATGACAGTTAATGAGAGCACAGGAGTTTTGTTTTGAATTTTAACACGTGAAGAGGATTTACTGTTTATTACAACTGTAAGTAAGCAAACAGTGAATAATTCTAGCCAATGATACTAAATAAAGAAAAAGAGGTAACTTTTCTATGTTGGGAGAAAATCAATAACTCCTAAATTATGCTAGTCTCCTTGTGAAGCCAGTTTTCAGTAAACTGAATAGCAAATTTCAGTAATTCTCAATATAGAAATAATTAATGAAAATACATTAGTATGAGCAGAGAAAATTGAGGAAGAAAATGAACAAAGAACCTATATACAAGATCCAGTGAAAGTGCCTTATTTTTTATGCTTATGAATTCTTTAGCCTGATTTTTCTATTCATATAGGACACATCTACACAGCAGCATTATTTCGGAATACCGGACATTATTCTGAAATAACGTATTGTGTGTCTACACAGCAAGCCAGTTATTTTGAAATAAATTGGAAATAATGGGCTTCTTACTCTAACTTCTGTAAACCTCATTGTATGAGGAGTAAGGGAAGTTGGAGGAAGAGTGCTCTATTTCAAAATAAGTGCTGTGTAAATGTGTCCAAATTCAAAATAAGCTATTTTGACTTAAGCTATGCAATTAGCATGGCTCAAGTTTGAGTAGGTTATTTCAAGTTTAGCCCTGCTGTGTAGATGTACCCATAGGAATGATCACATACCTGTACAATATAGTACAGTTTTCTTACATACTCCTAACCTACCTGAAAAGCACATTTTTGTGGAGTTTTGGAACCAGCAAACAGACAAAAATAAAGCCATAATTTTCTAGTCAGTTGCCTGTAATATGTATTATTTGCCCAATCTGAAGTCCACTGCAGTCAGTGAGAGTCTTCAATAGGTTTTGGATCAGGCTGCAAAAGGGCTATGGTCAGCTGTTTTCAGAATAGAGCCTGGTCCTCTACAATAAGGTGTTCCCCAAATTCCTAGGCTATGTCTACACAGCAGTGTTATTTTGGAATAACTTACGTTATTTCGAAATAACAAAGAGTGAGTCTATACAGCAAGCCTTTATTTTGAAATAATTTAGAGATGATGGACTTCTTACTCTGACTTCTGTAACCCTCATTTCACAAGGAGGAAAGGAAGTCGAAAGAAGAATGTTCTTTGACTTCCTGCTAAGCCAAATTAAGCTATTTCGACTTGAACTGTGCAATTGATGTAGCTGAAGTTGTGTACCTGAATTCGACTTTTGCCCTGCAGTTTAGATGTGTCCCTACTGATTTCAGTGGGAGCTGAGGATACTCAGCACCTCATGGAAAAGGCAGAGGATATTATAGAAAGCATATCCAGTGTCATAAGCAACAGATACCCTTGTTAAACCTTACAGCATCTGACAGTGCACGTGCTTAGAAGGACCAATGTAGAGCAAAGCACATAACATTCTACAGGAAGCTGTAATTCACAGTGGTTTCTCTCTCTTTTAAACCCACTATTAAAGGCTAGTTGTGTGTTTTATGAAGTTATTAGAAGTCTCAGAAAGAAATGAAAGTGATTACATTGCTAATATACTTGAAGACTTACACATCAAGGAGAAGCGGGTATTTTTTTGATGAATCAAAATGGGGAGGTAAGATCATCTGATACCACAGTGCTAAAAGTAAAGAAAAAACAAGTTTGCAATATAATATAAGCTGTGCGATGGAATAACTTACAGGCTCACTGCTCACATAACCAGTAAAATAGATCTGGGACATCTCTTACTTTAAAAAAAATATAAAGAATATTTTATGCAAAAATGCCCTAAAACAAATTAGTCTAGATTTAAATTTACTAGTTTATTTAGACTCAGACTTTTTCAATCTCAATTCAGACTTTCAAACCATGAAGAAATTAAGTCACTAGAAATTCTGAAACTGGTAGTTAGGGTTTAAAAAAAACCAACTTAATATGTTTTCTGTGGTTAAGATTCTACATTTAATGGGGAAGTCTTGACAAAGTGGTATGCTGCCAGTCTGGTATTTAGTTCAAAAAATGTTTTTCTAGTCAACTTTCTATCCCCCATATCCCAAATAAGACAGAAAACTGAGTGAAAAATACGAACTTCCCAGGTGTGTGTGTAACAACGAACACTGTTCAATAGCCTACAGACAAAATTTTAGAAATACATTTTATTTTATTTACATCACAGGAAATAGTAATGCAATTAGATGTTGTTTTCCCTTTTTGAACTGTGATGGAAGAGGAGGGCTGAGAGTTAACCAAACATATTAAGTGAAGACTGTGAATGACATAGGGCAAGGCTACTCAACTTTGGAAGCCACACGGGCCACAATGATACTCACAAGACATGCCAGGGGCCACAACTTAAGTGTGGTTGCATATACATGCAAATATATATGCAGATATATACAAATAGCTTCTTTCCATGTATCTCTGCAAAAGCAAATTCCATCTTCCAAATAGGGTTGAAAACCCTGTGTTCATCCAACAAGTGTCTCTTCTTTGTTGCCAATTTTAATGCTTCTTAATAAAAATAAAATTGTATACCAGTGTTTTGGGTGTTTAGCTTGAAGTTTCAGGTTGTGCGTTTCTTGTAGTGATTTTACTGTAAAAACAAAAGTTCCCAAGCCAGAGCGCTCCAACCTGCAGCAGGCAGGGAGCTGGACGACTCAGGCCGGCCACAAGAGGCAAAAAAGGAGAGGTTCCTGGAAGCCCCATCCTGGATTCCCACAGGGCTGACGTCCCCACATGGGCGTCTGTTGTTCTGTGCAGGATGGAGGCAGGGCTGCCCAGCCGTGGTACCAGACTCAGACATGGACAGTGTGAACCAATCAGCACCTCTCAGACACTGTCCACAAGGCTAAGCAGCCAGCACTTCCCACAATGCCCCAGCGCTCTTGGCACCTCCTCCCTAGGGGTCAGAAACACTGACAACCTGTACCCATCCACTTGCGTCTATGAATGCCCACTCCACCTGGGAGATGCCTTGCTGTTATGAAGTGTATTCCCAGTGGAGGTCATGTTCAAAGGATCCCACCCATGGGCCACATGTTGAGCCCCGTGTAAACCCAAACCGCACCGTGGACCACAAACAAATGGGCTGCGGGCCGCATGTGGCCAATGGGCCACATGTTGAGTAAACCTGACATAGGGTTGCTCTAGACTTCATGGTTTGCTTGTTCACTGAAGGATTTTACAAGAATGGATGTCGTGCAAAGGTCACTAGGAATGTGGTGTGTTCTAATGGTTAGAGTCTAAGGCTACATCTACACTGCAACGCTATTTCGGGATACCGGACTGTCCTGAAATAGCTATCCCATGTCTTCACATGCTCATTATTTCGGGCTCGTTATTCTGATGTCCTTGTAAACCTCTGGGACATTTCAGAATAGAGCTTTATTTCAAAATTTGGCACTGTGCAGATAGCTTATTTCGTCATTTGGTGCTATTTCAAAATAGCATTGAAATAAGATACACAGTTTATGTAGCTCAAATTGTGTATCTCATTTTGAGTTACGGTGCAGTGAAGGCACACCCTAAGTGTTTCAGGAATTTGTAGCTCTTGGACTACATATGATGTTAATACACAGCTGTGCTAAGAGGCATTCAAAAATTAAGATACTGGGTCATGTGTTGTTGAAAGTGAGTTTTTCATCTTTTGCTCTGTAGATGAATGAACAGACATCTTCATTCATATGTACAGACACATGGATTTAAGAGGGCATTTGGATTTGAAGTTTAAATTAACGGGATTTTTTTTTCTGCCCAGTCCTACACAAAGAAAGAAGAAAAAGTTCCCCTTACCTAACAGCTTCTACCCTGAAGAGATGAAGTAGTAAGAGGAAGAAGGAACAAAAAGATGAACACACAACTGATAGCAGGAAGATCATCTTTAAACCTCCATCTTCCTTGGTCATTCCCATCTTTTACCTTATTAAAAGTGTTATTAGAAATAAAAGACAGAAACACAAAGATAAAGGAGAGTTATAATATTAATGAGCTAACAGAAGGAGGGAGGTATCAAAAAGTGATGTTCGTAAAACCTGATTCCCATAAGAATGTTCATTTTGTTGAACAGTGTAAACCTGTGTCACAAGAAACAGATAGGGGTTACAATAGAGCAATTGTGCTTTGGAACTAGGGATGCCAACCCTCCTGGATTGGTTGGGAGTCTCCTGGAATTGATCTCCCCATGGCTACTGAAACCAATCCACAAGATTTTAATAGATTGCTAAAAGTATGGTTGGTGACGCAGTAGGGCCAAAGCTCTGCATGACTTCCAGAAATAACCACTATATCCCTCTGGCTCCTAGGTATAGGGAGGGCAAAGGGGGTTTATATGATGCCCTCACCCTGAGTGCTGACTCCACAGCTCCCACTGGACAGGAATCATAGCTAGGGCACTGTCTGCAGGCAAGAGCACCACACAGAGCCAGCTGGCCACCCCCAAGCCTTGGAGCTAGACCTGCTGGTTGCTTGTGGGCCATCTGAGGTAAGTACCTTTTAGCCCACACTCTTCCTCTCCTTCCAAACACCAACCTCTGCCCCAGCACTGAGCCCCCTTCTGGACCCAAGCTCAATCCCAGACCCCAAACCCCAGAGCCCTCCTGCACCCCCCAGACCTCTTCCTGGACCGCAATCCCCTGTCCCATGCTCCTTGATATGACACAAATCCAAACCAGAAAGATTTAGTGACAAATTCACCTAGTGGATAATTTAACCCCATATCTAACATCCGTAATAACCACTTATAAACACATTCTTTAAGCATTAACTCATTGTTATTTTATTCAGAAAGTTCTGAATTGGTGGAGAGCATACATACTTTTGAGCATGTGAGTTATTCCCACTGATTTCAATGGAACTAGTCACATGTTGGAAGTTACACATATGCTTGCTTACTTGTTTTGCTGACTTGGGGACCTTAATAAAACAAGATTTCCAGAAGTTTAGATTCTGCATCTATTTTTAAAGAATCATAGTACCACTCCACCATGATCTTTGTCTTTGAAGACAAGCCAGCCACATTAAGGGTGTGTCTAAATTACACCCCTCTGCCCACAGTGGGATGTAGATTAGGCACATCGCTATTGCAAATGAAGTGGGGATTTAAATATCCTGCGCTTCATTTTAATAGAAATGGCCACCGCTTTTTGCCATCGCTGCACTTTGCTGGCAAAAAGTAGCAGTCTAGATGGGGATCAGTCAACAGGGAAAGCCTTTTCCAACCAATCCCTTATGACTTGTGCAACAAGGTTTACAGGATCGGTCGGAAAAGACTTTCCTTGTCGACTGATCCCCGTCTACACTGCCGCTTTTTGCCAGCAAAGTGCCGCGTTAGCAAAAAGTGGCGGCCATTTCTATTCAAATGAAGCACAGGATATTTAAATCCCCACTTCATTTGCATTAGCAATGTGCCTAATCTACATCCCTCTGTCGGTAGAGGGGTGTAATTTAGATACACCCTAAATTTGCCTTGAAATTGCCATAAGAAATTACCATAAGCAAGTAATCTCTTCAAACCAAATACAATTCTACAAGGACCTTTCTGGCATTACAACACTTTTATCCTTTAGATTTGCCTTTTCTACCCACCATATATATTACCAACTAAAACAGCAGTTACCCACAATGTCACCATGAAGAAAGTACATGGATGTAGACTCTACAAAAGAAAATTGTCAAGGATAGTAGCTGATTTGATTACATTTGATCTCAACCAGTGCTGCCATTTCACTGTTTACTATTTCTCTCTCTCTTAACTAAAAGTTTTAGAAACCAAATAAAGACAACCTTAGTCTGCAGTTAAAATATATTTAATAAAGTTTCTAGACAAGGATTTTCCAAGATTTTAAAAATATATTACATCTTTCCTAAAATGGTGAAGAATTAAAAGATATTTTTAACTTACTGTATCCATTCAGACTAATGGTATCAATTCTTTTGGAAGGCATTTGAATGTTCTTCAAAGTACTATTCAAATCTGTGTTGTTTTCCAGAGTTCTGTTAACTAAACAAGAAGGTGGACAACAAAGGATGATTTTTTAATTTAAATTAAATACCTTTTTCCTTTTTAAAAACTTGTTGAAAATCAAATCTGAAATGATAATCTACATTAAGACCAACATTTACTATACTCTATTAAAATCATTTAAATAAATACAAATATGCTGCATCATTCATAGAATATTAGAATTCTAGGGCTGGAAGAGACCTCAAGAAGTCATCAAGTCCAGCCTACTACCCAAAGCAGGACCAATCCCAACAAAATCAATGCAGCCAGGGTTTTGTCAAGCTGAGACTTAAAAACCTCTAGGGATGGAGATTCCACCACCTCCTTAGGTAACCCATTGTAGTGCTTCATCACTCTCCTGGAAAAATCATTTTTCCTAATATCCAACCTAGACAGCTCCCTCTGTAACTTGAGACCATTGCTCCTTGTTCTGCCATCCATCACTACTGAGATCAGCCTCTCTCTGTCCTCTTTGGAACCTTCCTTCAGGAAGTTGAAGGCTGCTATCAAATCCCCCCTCACTCTTCTCTTCTGCAAATTAAATAAGTCCAAATCGCTTAGCCTCTCCTTATAGATCACGTGCTCCAGTCCCCTAATCATTTTGGCTGCCCTCCGCTGCACCCTTTCATATGCATCCACATTCTTTCTATAGTGGGGCCCTCTTCAAATATTAAAAGTTCCAATTGCTGGTTTTTCTTACTTATATACACAATTGGGAAAACATTTCAATTTTTTTAGATTAACTCAATTAAAACATAAATATTTAATGCATTACATGGCAGTCTTTTCAATAGAGCAAATGCTGATATTTCTATATTTCTAAATGTAAGCACTTTTGGTTTCTATTGTTCAGAAGAATTTTTGCTTTTATTATTTCTGGTGTCAGTTTAACTAGCAGACAATATTGTCATGCCTCCCCGTGCCTTATGAAAGTTAGTTTATGAATATGAATATGCATAACTTAGAAGATGTTTTATGCAAAACAGGTCATCTAACATGTCAGTTTTACAGTTACAATCTGCTGAATGTGTATATCCTATTTTTATGCATGTGTCATTCTTGTATGTGAAGTTAAAAATATGAAGTTTGGATCTGTTTATAATTCTAAATGTGCTAATGAAAGCCATTACTGATACCCCGTAAACTTAATGACTCAGCACTTAAACCAGTGACTTGTGAGTAGTCTAGTTTGCCCTATAAGCCCAAACTGTGATCGGTCCTAGAAAGACATATGACCGTGCCTCCTGATACTGGAATTCCTCTTAAAACTGTATTTGTCCTTGGGAATGGGGAGGGTGCCAAACAAAGGATTTACACACTTGGGGAAGTCTATTAAGCAATAGGAAGCAATCAGCCCTTGTGGCAAACTGGCTGGCCCCCCTAAAAAATCCCTGAAGAATTCTGAAAAGCTGTAGACACAAGCCAAAGTAAGGATTAACTCTGACTTGAAGTTCTTTACCTGAGATAAGAACAGCTGCGCAGGGTAAGAATTTGCATTTAACAAATTGAATGGATTAGAACTAGCTAAGTGTATTTTGATTTAGTAATTTACTGTGACCTGACTGTTTTCACTTGCAACCATTTAAATTCTACTTTTTGTACTTAATAGAACAGGGGTGAGCAATAATTTTTGAAGAGGGGCTACTTCACACATTTCTGAAGTCATTGCGGACTGCCCTGGAAAGGGTGGGGCCTCATGTAGAAGGAGAGGGGTCAGGAGACTTCCCATGCTCCCCTGCCCACAGATCCCAATTTGCCTGGGGGTGGGGGAGCATGTGAAGTTGTTGTTCCTGCCTCCCTGATGCCTACAGAGAACTGCCAGCTGTTTTGAACAGTTGGCAGTTCCACTGCTAGGGGCACACGGTGCCTAGAGTGAAGGAAACATTGCACGCTCTCCTCCCGCCCAAGCCATTCAGGGCCAGAGGACATGGTAGTGCTCAAAGTCTCTCACCCCTGCCTCCTCCCTGCCAGGGGTGTGCGCTGCCTAGAGGGAACCACCAGCAGTTTTGAACAGTTCCCTCTGTTGCCACATGCCCCAGGTGGCGGGGAGAAGACTTCGTATGCTCCCCTGTCTCCAGGTCTCGATTGTCCTGGGGGCAAGGGAGTGACAAGGTGGCCATGAGCTGAATCAACCAGCTTGGTGGGCCAGATCCAGCCTGCGGAGGTGGTCTTGCCCACCCCTGTAATAAAAACACTTGTTTATTATCAAGCCCAGTGTAAATACCTGTTACCTGTGGGTGGGGGAGTGGAGCAACCACTGTGCATTTTTTTTCATTGATAAAGTGGTCTGACCATTTGAGCTTTCACTGTATAAAACTTTTACACAGGGTAAGATAGATTTTTGGGGAGTTTTGGTCTCTTTGGGGTTGGTTTCCCTTAGAGCTGAGTCCTCCCAGAGCTGAACTGGTTCAGTGTCTGTGTTGCTCTGTGTGGGGAGGGACAGTAACCTGGGATGATCAGAGGATCTGCTCCAACAGGACAGGATGGAGCCCTAGAGAGTAGGCAGGCAGGTGTCAGTGACACGATCAGCACACTGGGGGACAACTTCAAGGGGACTTCCATGATTCACCCCTTCACAAATATGCTCTTTATTTGGACTAGTTCATTCAAAGTTGAGAAACTGATTGGGCAGTGAGGAGAAAAAGCAGGAGAGCTTATTTTCCTTTCCTAATCCATGGATAAAAAGCAGGTGAGAGAGGATGAGATTTATTATTGCTCTAAAGCCTTGAAGCATAAGGGCCCAGATTTTCAAAGGTACCTAAAGATGCAGAGGGATGTACAGAGCTAGATTCACAAGTAGGACTTCAGTGCCTACCATTTTAAACACCTAAATCCAAATTTTAGATCCATATACCCCCTGCTCAGCTGCTACCTAACTGTGGAGAACCTAAATTTCCACTGATTAAGTCCCCCAGGCAGTGGAAGGATACTGTAAATTTCTGCCACTGGAGAAGCTACGTCAGTCATGAAACCATTGCACAATTTGGTGCCTAACTCACACCTAAGCCTTGGTTGAAGTCACAAGCTAGATATTTCCCACCTATCTCAACTGAAGGAGCTGATCTAATAGATGTGCTCAGAACCCATCTTAAAGCCTATCTATGAATTGGACCATGCACAAAATACAGCCAAAATATGAAACGCTAACCCAGTGGTCAGAGCATTCATTCTGGGTATGAGAGACCTGACCTTGATTTCTCATTCTGCCTCATGCAGCAATGCCCTAGCTGCTGGCTCATGCAAGCTCTGGGATAGACCTCAAACTCTCCTGTTGAAGCTGTTCCCTAATGTCTAACAAAATATCCACCAGAGCAGGAACTGAAACCTAGGTCCTCCACCTCTCAGGTGAATGTCCATTTCCAAACTACTGGGCTACAGAGTCAGAGACCCATGCTTGCTCCCTCTCTGGTCCCCATGATGACTCTGTTTCTCCTTGAGAAACTGACAGACCTGTGTTAGACACCCAACTCCATGCAGGGCGCTCAGCTTTGAATCCCAAGCAAAGAGAAGGACTTCCATATAGCCCAGATTTAACCATCTAGTTCCCTCTGAGGGCAAGGATTAGGGCTCACCCCACTCAATGGCATTGACAGATAGTTCTCCACTATGCTTGCTTGCTTCTGTGAATCTCATTCTTAGGCACCTAACTTTCCCCATGCATTGTACAGAGAGCCTGGCTACCTAACTCAGAGCTGTGAATTCCACCCACTGGCAGGGCACCTAAATGTCAGGCACCACAAAGTTTAATATAGACCTCCCTTTATGAATCTAGCCCCAAAGCACCTAAGTGCAACACACAACTCCCATTGAACTCAATGGACACTGGGTGTGAATATGCTTTTGAAAATCCCAGTAGGTAGCTATCTTCATCTTTGGGCACCTAACTACCTTTAAAAACCTGGCTTTGAAAACCTGTAAATTTCTTGCTTCTGTTAATATGTGCTTTGTTTAATAAATCAGTTTGAAATGCAAAACAGTTTCATAAACTTGCTTTTTTGTTCCTTATGTATCCAACACATTTAAGATCGTTTTATTTACAAAAAACAATTTATCAGGACTTGTTTTGTACACTAATTTCTATCCAAATATATCTTGGCACAAAACCTGAGTATAACTTTACCTAGCAACCAAGAAATTCATCATTCACTATTTTTTAGCAAATTAAAAATGTGAAAAATTAGGAATCCAAACAAAACTTTGAGCTACAAAATTGCTTACTAACTATATATATAATGTTTGCTCTTGGTTAGCAAAAAGAGGCATTAAATTCGCTATTGTTAGTTACAAATCAACATGATTTAATGGCCTACCAACCAATGAGAATTAACTTTTCTTTAGGAAAACAACTAAAAATTTAAAAAAGAGTAAAATGTATTATTTAAAACAAGTTATCTTGATTATTGGTTTAAATCACTGATGAAAATGAATACACCTTGTTAAACAGCAGCAGAAATAAATGACAAGTCTGACTGAATTCCAATGAATTTTATTTCAGTCTACTGGAAAAAACTTAGAGTTACAAAGGACATGAAAGCTGTCAAAAGTGAAAATACCCTAAAACTAAAGGATACCCAATATCTACTACACTTGAACCTGTACTGCAAAAGAAAATAGAGAAGATCAAATACCTTTATCATCACTACTTCTGAACAGCATAGAAGTGGGTAGGCCTGGACCTGTTGACACAACCAAGCAAGATCAGTGTTTTAGCTGAATGCCTTCTTAAACATGATCCTGTAATACTAATTAGGGGAGTGTCAGTCCCAAAATACAGGACTATGTAGCACTTTAAAGACTAACAAGATGGTTTATTAGATGATGAGCTTTCGTGGGCCAGACCCACTTCCTCAGATCAAATAGTTATTTAAAACAAGTTCAGTTCAGAGGATTCCCTTTCAAATCTGCACTTGAAAGGGAATCCTTTGAACTGTCATTCATGCTAAAATTCGACACTCACCGCGGGGGCTCAACAAAGACACCAACTACCTTATCCATTACCAAGATAGCTTCCCCAATTATCACCTCTAATACCATTAGCTCACAGACATTTACCTTCCTTCTCCCCCTCCCCCCCGCATTCCCCTTCTGTTCTGCAATGTGATTTGTCCTTTTCATATGTGTTCATTTTTTTAATTGTATCCTTTGGTATATATGGTTGTGACTATTTTCTTCCACTATTTGATCTGAGGAAGTGAGTCTGGCCCACGAAAGCTCATCATCTAATAAACCATCTTGTTAGTCTTTAAAGTGTTACATAGTCCTGTATTTTGTTTCAGCTACACCAGACTAACACGGCTACATTTCTATCACTAGTCCCAAAATGTTCAGTTTGGGTAAATCCCTGAATTTTCGGATGATTATCTAAGCCTGATAAGGACACAGAGAATCTCCCCAAAGGCTCTCCACAGAAGCCCCAGGCTCCCCCTTGCATGTTTGAGAGAGGTGAAGTGTGAAAGCATAAGATTTCATCACCGTAAAACAATGTGCAGTTCAAAACTCAGAGGTGTTTCAGATTCATCCCTATAACTTTCCAGCACGCATGTAGGTTGGTGACTCAGGAGGTGAGATGAGTTCAGAGTGTCACTAAATATTTCTTGGGAGTCTTTGTAATAGGCTGACCATCTCTCCCCTAATATTACTCCCGCTAAACAAGGATTTTGCTTCCCTAAAAAGCATATCACTGGCCTTGCTGGCAAAGGAGTGTCCAAGTCCTTTGACAATATACAGCTCTTCATAGCAGTATCTTCCCTCCCAGAGAAATAAAAAAGTCTATGGAATTCTGCCACTGATTCTTTTGGACCACCAGTCATCAAAGAAGGCAAGAAACTATTTTCCACACTACGACCCTGAAGTGAATGTCGCCTCTACGATGTTTTCAAGGGGGCTGGTAATAGCGCATTCTTCATGATGAGCCATCAGCACTGGCTCATGCCACTGACCCTAGTCTGTTGCCCTTCTGAGCACACAGCAAGCTGCATCTGTTTGCACAGGCTGCTTCAGAGATGGGGATTGTTAGACCTACATGGAGGAGGGGAAGTGTACGTTTTGTTAGGGAGTGAGTTCTGCTGAATATTGTGATATAAATTTGTGTGACGGGTGCTTAGAGTCTTGGGTAGGCAGCCCTGTTAAATACTGCATAAATCCAAAGAAATACCAGTGAAAACATATCATTGTTCTTTAGCATGTACCAAAGATATCACTGGTTGAATTCCTCCTAATTCAATACTGAGTCACATTCATAGCTATTAGTGTGGGTCATACTCACCATAACAATTCAGCAGATAATACTTTGCATCACTGCTGAAGGATGCAGAATAATATCGACATCTGTCCTTGTCCCAATCACAGCTCACACATTTAGGTGTAGTTGGACTGTTTCCAACTGACACTCTGCAAAGTGATGGAAAGTTTCATTTCAAAGGTAAATGACATTTCTGAAAATGTTCATTCAGTCACCACATTTGTCAGGTGACTAAACAATGCCAGATGGAATCTGTGTCTTTTACAGAGACATATCTCTGTACAAACCATGCATAAGCACTTCTGTAGAACAGAGCCCCCTTGTAACAATGCATTTCACATTATTATGGGTTTTCCTTACAAACATGCCACTGTATACAGTGCTAAGATCCAGTCCTAACAGCAAAAGTCCAGTTGATTTTAATGGCAGCACAAACAGAAACTAAAAGGCAATGCTGCAACTTACATCATAATCAAAACTCTAAAATACCAATATTATAATGAGCATTTTCATCTTCTAAATAAATACTTCCATTTTCTGAAACATGTCTTATTTAACAGCTTGTTTTCCTAAAATATTTTAATGAACTTTCTCACATAGGATCAATGGACTTTGAATATCTTAATCACTACTATACTTGTGTACAATTTTCATTATATTCCCTCCATGCCTAAATTAGGAAATGTAATACGCTTCATACTTATAAAGGTTTCTTCCTCCTGGCTTTCCATCAAATTCATTACTGATGTAGTATCTATAAAACAAAGAGACTGGTTGAAATAAGTGATTTATAGTGTATTTACACAAGGTTAAATGATCATTTAGATATTGCTTAATCACATTTTTCTGCATCTAATTTTTATTTAGAGAAGTTAACAGACCTCTGCTTAATATAGGTAAATATATGAGCTATCCTGTGGTGCTCATATTTATATCTAGCCAAAATAGCCTTCCATTATTTTATGTATTTTACATCAAAGTTGCCAAACTCAAGTAATTTGTTACCTGCAGTAGCATTTGCAAAGACTAATGCAAACTGAGGGGAAGCAGTGGGAAGGCAGACCCTGAACTAGAGCGCAAACCCTGTCTTTGGGCACTGTAGCTGAAAGGAGTATTATACGCCCTTGTAAGCCCACACTACCCCTCTAAACAGGTGGAAATTTGTCTGGCCAAATGAAGGGAACAGTTCTTTATGGCTGGGAGGCAGGGGAGAGAGGCAAACTGCTGATAAAGGGGACAAGGCACCAGTGTGTTAACCCTGACGCATCTGTTGAGAACCAGATCGGTGGAAAAGTTTAAAAGGGGCAGCCTTTTACCTTCAGCAGGCTGAGGAGGCACCTGCCTTCCATCTCCTCTGGGTGATGAAATATCAGATTTGGTCAAGATAAGAGGAGCTGGGAAGGAATTTTTCTCTTACTACTAGATTGGCCTAGGTGGGGTTGGATTTTATTTGCTCTCCACACGGGGGGTTCAGAGTGGCTTTGTTCCTGCATGGCATGAGAGCTGTATGGTAGGTTGTATGTTTCAACTCTTAAGTGTGGAGCAGAAGTCCAGTGCATGGCCAGTGGCCAGATACATGGCCTAGAAAATGACTTAAAAAAAAGGTGTTCATTAAAGGAATGGAGTGGAGGGAAAGGAGGTGTTAGGACTTCTATGATTGATACCTCAAGGAGCCGGTCCCCTTTCTCATAGCCCAACTTAACCTTCCTAGGAGAGGGAGGTATGAATGGTAACATCCCAATTAATGGATTGGCTGGGAAAAAAGGGGGAACTGATGGAACCCACCTGGCTAATTATGTAATGAAGATAAGGTTTCCTGTATTGCACACTTATCTGTTGGATAGTCTCAGACATTTAATAATAACGTTACAGCCTGATTAAAACCATATAAAATATCTCCTGTCCTTCCTTTGGTATAGCTGAACAATAACCCTCCCATCATGGTTGGTGCCAGGAAAAAAATCAGGTAAGGCTGGCCTCTTTCACAGATTTTATTGAGTTCCAGGATTGCTGCTGAGGGACAGAAGAGATTCCTTCACAAATGTCATTAAGTCCTGGCTTGCATTTTTCATGTTATTGTCTGTCTGACACAGAGGTCACACTAAATGCTGCCACCGAGCATCTGAGTGCAAGACAGAAACACTACACAGAAATAACTAAATTGTGTCTTTATAGCTGGGATTGCGTATCAAAGGAACAAGCATAATCCCAAAAGCTAAGGGTTGTGATGTTCCAAGACTGGAGGTCAACCTTCTTAAATAGCAAACACTAGCAGAGCAGATTACCAAACAGCAAAGAGAACAACTGAAAATATGGTGATCACATTGAGACATGTCATGGTAAAGCCTAAGTCAGTTCAGAAAAGTTTACATAGAAGCAGAAAAAAACTCTGTATGGTTTGATTATTTTTTTGCCAATATTTTAAATTATGGAACAGAATCTGGGGTGTGCTGGTGCAGGGCTTGGTACATATGATGACATAGAGCTGTCCACCCATCCCGGAGGCAGCTGGGGGACAATTTGCCCTCTGCTGCAACTTAAAGCAGCCTCAGCATTAGCCAGTCTCTATTTGTCTTTAGGAGCTGTTGTGACAGCTCTGGCCATGTCTACTCCAGCACTTCTCTTATGCTGAGGAGGTGGCAGTATACGAATTATGCTGGTTTTCACCAGCTAGGAGCTCCCTTTTTCCGTTGCCTTCACTCAGGATACCATAGCACGCTGCAACATGGAGCCGGAGCTGTCCCTGGGCACTCTAGTGCTTCTCGTGGACACGTTGCTGCAAGCCTGGCTGAACTTTCTGCAGGCTACATTCCAGGAGGTCCATCAGGGGGCTGTCAGTATCCAGGAGACCCTGGAGAAGAGCTTCCACCCTGAGGAGCACTAAGAGCCTCCCTGGTGTGCCCCACTGGGGGCTTGTGCCTCATTCCTCCCTCCTTCCACTTACCCCTCCCTAACCCCCCTTCCTGATGTCAAATAAAAACACATTTTTTGCCAAAAACAAACTCTTTATTGACCAAAACTAGGGTGGGAATGAGGGTGGAAGAGGAGAGGGAGAAACCTGGGAGGATGGAGCTGGAAGGGGGAGGCAAGGTGAGGAAGGGGTCAGGGTTGGGGGTCTTGCCAGACCAACTTGATTTTCATGCAAACCTGCTCCTGGGTTCGCATGTGGCCTTTGGTGGCCAGGCTGGCAGCTTTCCTGCCATAGATGGCTGCGTTCCTCTGTCTAGTGTGGAGATCATGGACATTGGGGGCATCCCACCAAACCTGAGTATGGTCCACCCTGATCTCCGCCCTGGACCAGGAAGGCTCCCACCTTCTACGGTCCCTGGCAGGCTCCTGGGAGCTGGCAGACTACTCCTGGGATGCAGTGGAGGGCTGGCTGCCAGTGGCTTGCTGGCTCATGTTTTGGGGCCACGGAGTCGGGCCAGTGACTGCTGGCTCTGGGCCGGCAGGCTTGGAGCTGGCACAGACACTGTGGCCAGAGTCTTCCTCTTTAAGGGCTCCGGAACTGTGGGGAGGGAGAAGAATTTTCCTGGTTTGGCCCAGAGTGGCCACCAGGGGAAACTGGGAAGGCTGGAGGCCCCCTATTTCAGAATACGCATCTACACAGCGCTTATTCCGAATTAGCTAATTCAAGTTAGGCATTATTCCTCGGAGAATGAAGTTTAACTAACTCGAATTAAGCACCCTGCTATTTCAAATTTAATTTGAAATAGCGGTTTGCTTGTGTAGATGCTATGGAAGTTAATTCAGACTAACGGCTGTTATTCCAAATTCACTTTGATGTGTAGACATACACAATTTGGGAAAACTTCTTTCCTACTTGCTCATCTCCAGTAGGTAACTTTACAAAGATGTGCACATTAGAGGAGCTGTTATTGCACCTGAATTTATAAAAAGGCACTAGCTGCAAGAAATCAATGTGCAAAAAGCGTCACATCCTATGAAAGAAGCCATTAGCCATTACAAACAGCCATGAGCTAGAGACTATGATAAAAACATATGCAGGACTGTATGGGTTAAACTGTTCGGGACACCATCAGGGGGTTGTTAGTTGGGCTGTTACAAGTAAGAGCAACTTGAGACGCTTCAATGTTCTTGCTCTTTATTCTATATAGTGGTCACAAAGCAAGTGACTGAACAGGATTTTACATTATGTAGTTTTACTCTGTTTTACATTGATAACTAAGTATATTTGTTATAACAGTTACCTTATTTATTGTGTTTGACAAACACATGCTCTCTCTTTTAAATCCAATTCTCCTCTTACCATACTCCTTTATCTCTACTGACTAAAATGGAATTGTACTTAATTTACAACACTATAAAGTAAGTGGTAAAGAATGCATCATTCTTCACTTGAATTTTAACAATACTTAAGGGGACAGCTGTCCTCTGAAATACATTCTAAATATTTTTTACAGAAGAAAACATTCAAAATAAGCTGGGACCTCTAAAAAGAGCATTTCTGAATTTAATGTGAGACTGAAACAAAATGAGAATTTTTCTGAAACCAAGTAAGAAAATTGCCCCTGGCATAACTTCTTTTCGAATCAGAAGGCTTAAGCTTTAAATATTCCCAAGATAGTCAAGCAGAAAAAAAACAAAAGTAGAACAGCCTCTGCATCCTCTGCCCCCATACAATTTCTGGTCTGCATCTGAAGAAAGGGCATGATGTTTCACAGACACTGTAATATCTTTTAACAATACATTGTAGGAAAAGCCTACAGTCAAATATGTAGAGCAGTATACACGTGTGTACATGTATCTCAAAGATAAGAAAACACTGCAAAGTTCAGAACTGTCTAGAATAAAAATATTTTTGAACTCTACACACATTTGCATCCAGAGATTTGGGTTGAGAATTGTGTGAGAGTTTGCATGTACATATGTACGCACACCTGAATCAATCCTTTATGTTCCACTAAATGTTATTGACTACCCCCCCCCCCCCCATGAAGACAAGAGCCTCCCTTCCATTCACAAGGAGTAGATTTCAAAAGGACTGAGGCACATAAAGGTACAGATAGATGCCTAGCAGGTTCTCCAACAGCCACTAACCTGTACTATGTTGTAAAGACTTACTATTAAATTGATTTTCTTACAATACTCACATAAAGTCACTGGTTACAGCTTCTATACTGATGACTTCCCATTTTCCATTTGTAATAGGTTTTCTGCTCTAAAAACAAAGGGAGGCAAAAGGTAAATTCCATGGCGGTCTAAAGAAATGTCAATCAGCAATGACTGTCCTAGGAGTTATTACTCACCCCGCTGCCATTAATATAGTGGATGTGTTTGTAGCCCTCTGTATTGCTTAGAATTTTATAGTAGCCAACATTATCAGGTGCAAAGTAAGGGTCAGAAGGCTGAAACTGGAAAAACACAACAAACCTTTTAAAGCAGATGATAGAAACCGAAGAACAAAATGTTAACCTTTAGTTTTGGGGATTCCCACAACATCTGAATTCACAGTTTCTTAACATGCACGTCATGTATCTTAGTAAACATATCGCACAATGCTGTGTCAGTTCAGGGGGGGGAAATCTATTTTCATTAGGTGTGTGAAACCTATAGCAACCATCTTTAGAAGTAAATATAGCCAACATGTTGCATTTGTTTCTTCAGCAACAGAATTTCCGGTGCACTAGCAACCTGCCACCCACCAGCTTCCACCTCCCCTTCAGATGTAAGGATTTCAGGTTTACTATTTCCCTGTCACTTTATAATATCGTGGCGTACGTGTTACTGCTAATTGCTAAATGTAACATTTGAGGGGGCTTGCATGTTTATGAATTTGGGCACATTTCATTAACATGTCTCCTATCTTCTGCAAGCTTTTCAATTGAAAAATGGCTTCATTTTCCAATGAAAACAAGCTATGTCTCAAGGGGAAATGGTCCAATTTTGTGTGGAAGTGGCTTTACAATTCAAAACAACCTAAAGCTGGCACTTGTATTTTTATGTTGTCACTGAGGAAAAAACCATTCAACAAAAACAGACCTGACCCAAAGCACATTTAAATCAACAGGAGTCTTTCCATTGACTCCTGAGGGCTTTGGGTTAGACTCTGTATGTTAAATATAGAAATAATCAAGCAAGCAAACAAACATCAAACCTGAAAAGCATGAAATTGCTCCCAGTGAAATAACAGTAAATTTCTATAGTGTATTACACACTCAAAACAATAACCACTTCTCACAATCACCCACAACATCCTACTGTTCTTTTTTTATATATGGGGAAACAGATTGATAAAGTGACATGTCTAAGGCCATTCAGTAAGTCAGTAGTATAAACTGGGATTAGCACTCAAGGTCATTTCTCTGTACAGTACTGCCTGCTTGGCAATATTTTTATACAAAACTACATGGACTGTATTTCACTAGTTTTTCAAAGGCCTATTTAAAACTGAAATCTTATTTCAGCTAAATGTGATTCTCCTTTATCTTATCTGGCAAGGGCTTACATTCCGAGGCTACCCACAGTTGGTTCCTAGGCCATGATCAATATAGGGACCGTGATGTACTGTGTGATCTTGAATTCACTATACTTTTTCCCTCTGGTTAGTAAAAATTACAATACTGCCCAGCTCATGCAGAATGCTTTTCATCAGTACATCTCAAAGCAGTTGACAAAAAGAGGTAATTAAAAAGAGGTCACTAATCAGCCAATGTCATTTTATCCTGGGCTGGATGAGATTATAGGTAAAATCTGCCTATATGGAGATTTCGTGCATGGCAAGCCAGAGTGTCAGTCTATAGGGCTCTGGCCTACCACTTACTGGCTACATCTAGACTGCAAAGCTCTTTCGAAAAAGAGCATCTAGACTACAACCAGTACTTTTGAAAAGCAAGGCGCTTTTTCGAAAGAGAGCATCCAGGCAGTCTGTGCATCCTCACATCCATTTCACTTGGCCAGTCACTGCACAGTAGGGTGGAGTTCTGTAGACTGTCACTGTGGCTTGTTGTGAAATTAAAATATCTTCTTTTCTCTCTCTCTCTCTCTCTCTCTCTCTCTCTCCTGACTCTTTTTTAAAAATCCTGCTAGTTTAATGGCACAAAGACTCATGATTTTGCCCAACAGTTTACACCAACTGTCTGATTGTAGAGCCTTTGCTGTATAGAAGCAAAATGTGTCAGCATTAAAGCTTTCCTTTTCATATCAAATCTGACAGCAGGTGGGATGATCTCTCATAGTTGTACTGGGGATGATTTCATCCCTGCTGTTTCCTCCCTCACTGTGTTTAATTTTTGCTTTCTGACTTTAAAGTGAATTTGTGACTAAAACAGAGTCAATGTGTGGAGAGTGCAGGCGTGGAGAGCATATTCTGTGTTATCAGAAATTCTGAAACACATTTCTCCCTCGAATCTGATCTTTTGGGTCTAGCCTTCACTTCCTCCAGATAGTAGTTCAACAGGTGCCTACTCTCTACCACTTGGCATTCTGTCCCCCTGCAATGTGGAAAATGGCAGTTAGATAGAGTTCTAATCAGCAGAGCTGTGAGAAAAATTTCATCTAGTTGGTTAAAACAAAAAGTGAGCAAGACTTTGCTGTTCTTGTGGTTTGGGGGATTTTGTTTTAAGAGCAAAAAGGGATAAATGTGAATGAAGTGATGTCGTATTTTGTTATGCTAAAGACCCACTTTCCAAACCAGTGCAGAAACAACAGGGGAGATTCTTTTAGTGCATTTTGGCTCCTTCATGCCACACTAATAGTGCAAAGCTTTGGCAGGAGAGTGGTCAGGTCCAGCTAACTGAGCATTCCACTAGTGTCAAGGACTTCTCAGCTGGCAGAGTGAATACCTACCTCTTGCACAATCTCACTCTGTAGGCAATAACTCAGAGACAAAGGGGGAACTGACAGAAGCACACAGCTCTGGCCATCTCTAGCCACTGTGCAGTTCCAGAGAACTGTTGCCCACTGACATGCATTAAACAACCCCTAGATCAATCAAACTACACTGGAGGCAGAGTTATAAGCTAAATTCAGAAAGTTTAGAGTTACAAAACCCATAAAATTGAAATGAGTGGGTTATGTACAACTCCGATTGAGATCTATTGATTTTGCCACATGTGTGCAGTTAGCCATTGTCCAAGGTAAGTTATGGATCAGGTGTGGGTAGCATACCATTAGAAATATAAGACATCCATAATTAAATGTAAGAAAATCTTTTTTAATTGGTGCACTATATGACATGTTGTAATCTAGTAACTGAATACTCACTGTGCCAATCCAGCCAGTTTTACTTTCTTCTGTATGTTGTTTGTCCTGAGGAAAAAACAAACAAAGCTCTACTAGCATGATAGTATATATTTCACATAGTAGTCTGTATCACACAAATATGTCTGAATAATTTTTTTCCCTCCATCCCACTCTTGACTCTTATTTTTAAGTCATTTGATTATTAAGCTCCATCTTCCATACCTTTGGACACTGCCAAGTTCCACTGTCTCTCATAAAGTCACAGACTGCGAGGACTGAAAAATTCTGAATCCTTCTGAGCCACTGCAGACAGATCCTTTCATCAGTTACCCATGTTACAACACTCAAATAGTGATCCCTGGAAATAACAAATGCTATTAGATGCTTTAGCATCTTGCATACATTGCTTTTCTCTATATGCGTGTTCAACAGTTCACTGAATTCTACTGATTCAGGTCTTACACTTTAAGCTGCAGTTGCATTCAATTGCATTTTCAGTTGCATTCAATGCTACAGATCTCAGTAACCCATTGCAATGCTTGATGTCTATTAAAGAACGAGCTAGAGTTTGTGTGTGTGTCAGTGTCCTATAAGAATTATACTTAAATGTTGACAGAGACATTCATGGATGAAATCAGAACTGCTCAACAATATATCCAAAGCCCTATACTATGGACAGTTAGAGGGGACTCTAATTCAAATGGTATGGGTCTGTGATTCTGAAGTTTTATCCCACAGTCTCCATGAAGTTCTGACGTCATGGAGTGTAGTGAAGTGACAACCTGGAATCCTTGGTTAACCAGATATAATGGAGATTTTTGTAGATGGTCCTATGCAATTTCTAAGAGGGATCTATTATTCTACTGTTTTGGTTTGATATTGCTAGTAGTCCTGTGCTTGCTACGCGGGGCTTGAGCATACTAACATCACATTTTACTACTCAAGTGCTTTGTCTTCACTGAGAGTTTTTCCAGCAGAATATATGCTAATGAGGGACTCATTAGCATAAATCACTACATTATTAGCATATTTTTTGCCATTTCGTTTTGCGCAAGGGGTTTTTGTGCAAAAAGAAGCAGCGTGGACGGAGTTTTTTTGCACAAAAAAATGCCATTTTGTGCAAGATACTTATGCCTCTCGAGGACAGGCATAAGAATCTTGCACAAAACAGGGGGGTTGTGAAAAAAACCCACCCACACTGCTTCTTTTTGTGCAAAAACCCCTTGCACAAAAAAAGGCAGAAAATATGCTGAGTCCCTCATTAGCATATTTTCTGCCAGAAAAACTCGCAGTGAAGACGTAGCCAAGTAGTTCCATCTCCAGAACATCATCCAGCTGATAACTTTACAAGAAAGATGTCACATCAAAAAGAAAAGCTTTCATTGTTTGCACTCTATATGCACGAGCTCCTTTCTTTATTATAACAAAAGGCAGCACCTGCAGAATGCAGTGGTTCTCGTTCCCAATTGTGGTCTGTTACTCTTGTGTGAAAAAGGAGAACAGGAGGTTATGCCCTCCCATTATGACAGGGGTAATTAATTACTGCAGGCTTTGCAAACTGATCTAATGAAATATCTTCACAAGACTTTGCTCTTAGCTCTACAACTGACATGTTTGTCAAAGTTCATGTTTCCTCTCTCTCCTTCCCTTACCAATCAGCTGACAAAGGTGGGAGGTTCTAAGGTGAAATTAATTGTTTATGAGACTATAAAAATGCCCCTCAATGCAAAAAAACAAAACAAGAAAACAAAAAATCCAAAAAAACCCTTGCCTTTATTGTTTACTTCAACTACAAGAGCTATATTTTATCTGATATGCCACTTAGTTTTATGCTCTCATTATTTTTTGGTGAATTTCTGGTTACAATATAGGGTTTTTTCCATGCACGCATAAGCCAAGTTTACACAGCATTATTATTTGGAATAACTAACATTATTCAGAAACAACAAAGTGCGCATCTATACTACAAAACTTTATTTTGAAATAATGTCAAACTGGAGGACTTCTTACTCCGATCCACGGTAACCATCATTTCACGAGGAGTAAGGGAAGTTGAAGGAAGAGTATTCTTCCTTCAACTTCCTGCTGTGTAGACAGCGCCAAAAGCCGAATTAAGCTATTTCAACTTCAGCTACGTAATTAACATAGCTCAAGTTGTGTATCTTAATTTGACTTTTGCCCTGCTGTGTATATGTTTTGTTTTTTTAAACTGAGAAAGTCAACAATTCTGCAGGAAAATTTGAATGGAAAATAAGGCAATTAAAAAATGAAAAAACAATCATAATTTTTTCAGAGACTTTTTGCAGCTTTTTTAATGACCATATTTTACAAACAATAGGAAGGTTAGAGTGTACCTCTTCTTTTCAGGAATTTTTACATTCGAGGAGTCAATTTTGATGTGATTAATTCAAACTATAGGGGTTCCAGACAGTGCAAAAATGTGGCATTTAACTTCCTTGTTTTCTCCCTGGAAAGAGTACTTTTGCAATCCTGTGCCATAGTGCATTTCCCACTCTGCAACTTTCTTATTTCCAACACTGGTACACACTGATAGTCTCACAGGGCAAAATCCATCCCTGTGCACAGACCTGGGCATTAGTTGCTTCTCAGTTAACCATCCCACATGAACACTCAGCACTACATGGATTTAAGTAGGATTTGAATGATACATGTGCTTTATGCTGGCCTTCAGCAAATTCACAAATTTTACCAGAATTTTAAATGGAAAAAAAGTTGCCATTTCAAGCATTTTGGCAGCTGACTTAGAAATGGTTGGAGTGCCTCTCGGGATAAACACTACAATTAAAGAGAAATTCCTAAATCATGGGGTCGAGACCCATTCAAGACATGAAAAGGAGACATTGTTTTCATTGAGCACAACAGGCATACTCATAGAGGGCAAGGACCCCCACACTATGTGTGTAAGGCTAATGCAGTAGCTTCTGAAAAGGGGCACAGGTCTCCTGATAGTGCTCGGGGTCCAGACATCAGAGGACATATACATTTGTAAGACTAGCTTCAAGCATAGTGACGTGGCTGTGCTTCTTGGGAGTGCTCAGTAGCACTGCATAGGCAAATGAGTGCAGACATGATGTCTCCTGGAACTCCCTCTAAGCATCCCCCAATCTTGCCAGCCCTCTATGTAGGGTTGTACTTAATGCCAGAATTTAGCCATAAGATGGTAACATGTTACCTCTCTTTTGACAACAATGCCAAACAACCTGCCTGCATCCCCTTCTCTAGCCCCAGCTGGCAGTCAATTTACAATGGGAACAAATGTATCTTTTTAAATCAGGGAAAACTTGAGACAAAGCTACACAATAGTATGTAGTTACTTTTTCCTCAGCAGTGAGAATGTTTTCGATTCAGTCCCCAGCATGAACATTCACGTTGCCTTACATTACATCATTTCCCCCACAGATCAGCTTCTGCTTATTAAAGTTTGCTATCATGTAATTCTTTCAGGTAAGTTGGAGTTGAGCATGAGGAAAGATGTTTATAACAGCATCAAGTGCTTCCTACATCTTGATGGTTGAATATAAGTGTTACATGTATCGTATTTGATCCTAAGCAGAATCAGACTTTTGTATTCTTGTAAATTCTGGGCCTGATCTACTATTGTGTTAGCCCAGATTTGTATAATGTCATACCAAAATAAAACTACAGAAACTCCAGTAGGAAAATCAGACCCTGTATTAAGCTAGGAAGTTGTGTGCATGTTATTGTTCTGAGCCAAACATGGTACAGTATTGCTCTGCTTGTTGCTAGTGAAATAAAAGAAGATTTTGCTAAAGCAGAAATCTATTAAAAACTAAACTGAAAACAGATGTTTATTTACACTTCTGTCTAGAAAACTTCAAGATCTGGCTAGCATCATGAATATTTTGTGGAATTGTAGGGCTATGATAGAATATATGAACAATATATTAATGCAAACAGTATATGAGGTTGGATATATCCTTTAATCACTGATACACTGTGGACTGGACTGGGATGGAATGAGATATTCTCTGTATTCTGGCTATAGTGAATTGATAACATGGCAGAAGATGCTGTCTTATAGCCCCAGGGCTTTGCTTTTTCTAAAGATTATCACATTTTTCTGTGTGATACAGCATGTACTGTATCTCATTGTCTCTAAATTCTCATTGCAAACATAAAACACATACACTTAGTAAGTCTGCAGTATTGTGGAAACAGGAGACTTTAGACACACAAATTTTGCATGTAAAGTTAAATACATTTGCTTGCTCTTTTCAGAATACTCAAATTTATGTCAAGTAGCACTTTGTCAGTGGTGTTTTGAGAAATAAAACTTTTCATTTACTTTCTGAATTACTGGCTTCCATAATAATATTTCCAAGAAAAAGACACATTTTAAAGTTTAATCAGAGAAATTTTGCTGTTACCTCACAATCTGAGTATTGCTTTAAAATGAGCCAATGAAAACACAGAGGAATCTTCTCCCAGTGAAATCAGATACAGTGAATCTTCATTTGCAGTGAAACATAGCTACAATTCTGAATTATTTATCAGTGCATTGTAATGTGCAAATTCAATTCCACGTATAGTCAATTGCTGCTCAAAGTAAAGCTGTTCTGTGAAATGATTTCACTGTAAGTAGGATCCACTGCATGTGATGAGCCAATAACATGTCATATTCTGAGCACAAGAAATCTGGAATATGCCACCACCTTTAAATAATTTTTAGAAGGAATAATCTCTACATGGGGTTTACACAGTAAATCCTGTTCCTCTCTGAGCAGTGTGATAATATAACCCAGTGATATATGATAGTAATCTAGGGCATTTACAGAGAAAACCATCATATTATTAAAACTACTTACCCTGATATTATGCTAGCTGGTGCAATAATTTCACTGGTATTCACAGTGGAAGGAGATTGGGTATTCACAACAAATAATTTTACAGTAGGATTTGTAGCTCCCGCCTAAAGAAAGAAAGAAATGTTTCACATTATTTCTGAAGACAGTAAATACTTTCGAAGTGAAAACAACTCTTGAAATTAGAGAAGATAGAAAAGAAATTGTAAAGTGCAGCAGCAATGAGACATGTAGGTTAGACTGTATGGAGAAACACAATTCTGTTCAGATTGTGGGCAAATACACTTAGGTTTTTTATGAAGAAATTAGTCACATAATTCTAGTAAAAACATACCTCTTCATTTATAAAAACAAACGTCCATCATCACATTTGATACACTGTGACTTCATTTACTATATTTGCTAATATACCATAACTTCTGCCAGTGGGTAGGGCTTATTGCTCTCCAACAATGGGTTACCTTCAACCCACTACTAAGGGGGAGGGAAGACCTTTTTTGAGGCAGGGGCCGCTGACCCACAGAATAATCAGTTGGGGGGCCACACACAAGTGAGAAGCAAGAAACAAACACTCCTCACTGATGTGGCCCCCTGAAACTGAGAAAGACACTCTGCACATTCACCTCACACATCAGAGCCTAGGGGGGCCCAGACTAGTAGCTTTTGTGTGCTCCAGCTCTGCAGGAGGACAGCGGGGGATGGAGCACCAGTGCATGCTCCCCAATGCTTGCAGGGAGCCCTCGTGAAATGAGTCGTAATGGTAGTTCGAACTAGGAAGCCTAGTTCGAACTACCTAGTTCGTGCCCCGTATAGCCGCGCTGCACGGGGTTCGAACCAGCGGGGTTTTAAAAATGGCGACTCCCCGCTTATGCAAATGAAGCCCGGGAAATTCAAATCCTGGGCTTCATTTGCAAGTGCGGTATGCCTACATTACCCTCCTAGTTCGAACTAGGAGGGTAGTGTAGACATACCCAAAAAGACATACCCTTAATCTGCATATTTTGAAGGGTCTATATACAAAATTTGTATCTGTATCTGCAAAAATGAGCTATGGATATCCACATCTGCAGATATGACTACCTGCAGATATAAAGCAGATAGCCACAGATTTGCAGGACTCAGATAATCTCCTGGGAGCCATTAACTGAAACATCCCAAAACTGCCACAATGATTTCACTAAGGGTGGTGCTTTTTATGATATTACTAAATGTTTCTGATTCTCACACACCCTTCTTCCTTTCTTGCCTCTCAGTCAGAAGCATTTCCTTTGAGATTTATGGACAGAAAGGGCTATGAAAATGCAAAACTTATTCCACACCTGCTGAGTTTAGTTTATTAACTGCCATACTCAAGCTAGGTTATTAGTCAATTATCCTGCTGTCAAGGCTGTTCCCCATTCTGGCACTTCAAGTATGGATGGTGGGAATCCACAAGGGACTTTAAAATACCCTGCTACTAAAGCCTTCTATTTCAAAACTCCTATAGCCTTGAATAAAAAAAGCACTTTGAAAACCCAAGAAGATGCATTTGTGAATTTCTTCCTATGGGATACCCTTAAGCGCTTTAACCCTCCTTCTGGAGAAAGCTTGAAAAAAACCTATATATTTTTCTTAATAGCTGCCATTGCAGTCTTAGGCATGTGCACACAGAACCGCCTGCCTTCCAGGGAACAGGAATCACATAACAGCCTTAAAAAAGTGATATTTATTAACAAAACAAAGAAAACACAGTTGGGGTGTGTCTAGATTATATGGCTCCGTCGACATAGTCAATGAAGCAGGGATTTAAATAATCTTTGCTTCATTAAAATAAAAATGGTCACCACGCTGTGCTGACAATCAGCTGATCCGCTTCATTGACTATGACAAGTAAACCACTTTACATGGCTCCATCGACAGAGCCATGTAGTCTAGACACGTCCTTGGTGAGTATTGCTTGGCTGCTAGGTGTTACAGAGCAACCCCCCCAAAAAAGGAAGATTAAAACACGGAGGCTATGTCTACACTATAGGGTTTTTGTGCAAAAACCCATGAAGCGTCCACATCTCAAGCGCATTTTTGTGCAAAAAAAATTAAAGTAAATCGACAGGACAGAGGGCTTTTGCCGGGAGAGTTATTCGTCTCCCCATGAGGAACATCTCCTTTTTGCGCAAGAGTTCTTGCACAAAAAGGTGTGTGTGGATGATCAACAGGGGTTTCTTGCACAAAAAGAGCCTATCACAAAAAGCACAGGGGCTCTGATGGCTATTCACAGAATGGCCATCAGAGCTTTCTTGCACAAAAGCACATCGCTTTTTGTAATGCGTTTTTGAGGTGTAGACGTGCTTTTGCACAAGAATTTTTTGCAGACGATCTCTTTCACAAAAAGCTTCTTGAGCAAAAACCCTACAGTGTAGACGAAGCCAGAGAATTACTTCCCTGGGATTCAGTTCGGAGAGTTACACTGTAATGGGGGTGGGGGTGGGGAGGAGTTTACATGTCCTTAGCACAGAGAAAACCAACAAACCCCATAATAAAGAAAATAATCTGATTGTATCTGACCAAATATCCCCAATTCTACTCCTATATCTGTTGTTCCAAGATTTAGTTCTTTCCAAGGCATGGATGTTGCTTGATATTCCATGCCTTGCTCCCTAGAAATTAATGTGTCCCAGCTCTGCTCTGGTCACACAAAGACTGGAATGGGAAGGTCACTGCTTTCAATTCAAAAACTCACACCTGTTTTCATTGGCTCTCCTGGCTTTCTGTCAACTCACTTCCTGCTTCCCTAGCATTTGTGGAAACTCTCTAGGATCCATTGTCTATGATTTTAATCCTTACAGACAATTTAGTTAGCAGAATGGCTGAAATGTCCAAAAAAGGATAGAACAGCCCCATTCATCACACTCCCTCCCAAATCACAGAGGCTGAGTCTAGACTGGCAAGTTTTTCCAGAAAATCAGCCGCTTTTCCGGAAAAACTTGCCAGCTGTCTACACTGGCCGCTTGAATTTCCGGAAAAGCACTGACAATCTCATGTAAGGTTGTCAGTGCTTTTCCGGAAATACTATGCTGCTCCCATTTGGGCAAAAGTATTTTTCCGAAAGACTTTTGCACAAAAGGGCCAGTGTAGACAGCACAGTACTGTTTTCCGCAAAAAAGCCATGATCATGAAAATGGCGATCGCGGCTTTTTTGCGGAAAACTGCTTCTAGATTGGCTTTTGCGGAAAAGCATCCTGCCCATCTAGACGTGCTTTTCCGAAAATGCTTTTAATGGAAAAGTTTTCCGTTAAAAGCACATTGGGCAGCCTGGCCTAGGCTGAGTCCACATTGGCAGTGATTTCTTCCTGGAGATCTAAGAGAAAACATAAAGAACTAAGCAAGATCCCCTCACATTCATGGACTATGATGACTTAGAGCACAGGGACATGGTTGGTCCACAGGTGAAAATGCCATCCCCAAATATATGGGTGTAGCTTCTCCAGAGCATATACAATGGTAACATTCCTCCTCTGAGATAGACCAGTGGCTTTCCCTTTCAGAGAGCTTCTTACAGAGAAACAAGATACTGCTGACTTGGCTCTGTCTGCATCAAAAATGATCCCACACCACGCTGACACATCTATGGTGACAAAGAAAAGTTTGTCATAGTCTGGGGGTCCTTAGCACAGGATCACACATAAGGGCAGCCTTAAGCTGCTTAAAGCTTCCTGACATTCCTCAGTCCATTTAACTGTGTTTGGTTGCTTTTTCCTTGTCAGGTTTGTCAGTGCAGCAGCAATCTGACTGTAGTGTGGTATAAATTGCTTGTAATATCCTGCTAAGGCTAGGAATGATTGGACCTGTGGTGTTTTTTTGTGTTTTTTTTTAAGGGACAGGCCAATTCTGGATAGCCTCTACTTCAAGCCTATAGTGGGTTGATAGTTCCCTGACCCACCTGGTGTTCAAGGTAAGTAACCCTGTTTAGGCCTATTTGACAACTTTTTAGCCTTGGCTGTCAGCCCTGTCTCCCTTATGCACTGGAAAATAACTTGGAGGTGCTCTAGGTGTTCTGCCCATGAATCAGAGAATATGTCATCATCATCATCAGATTAGGCAACTGAAAATTCTCAAAATCCAACTTGAAGATAATCTACTACAAGTTTTAGGAAGGTGGCAGGTGCATTGTGCAGCCTGAAAGTGAGAACATTAAATTCATACAGCCCTACATGTGTAATGAAAGCTGACCTTTCCTTAGTGGATTCATCCAGAAAAGGGTAGTACCCCACCCATTCATTACATCTGCTCTTACCAGCTGGATCAGAGTCAACACAGTCAAATGAAGATCAACTTTATCAATTATGCCAATTTTATTTCTGTGCATGTGCCTCTCTAATTCATTACGCTTTGCTACCCTTCATTTAGTTTCCTCCATTCACTCTACTACCTAAGAGATGAACTCTCCTTAGATTAATTCTCCTTACATTGTGGAGATATGGTAGCCACTTGGCAGTGGAAATGGTAGAAGGAAGTTGTGTGCTCCAAGATTTTTACATATGGTATCAAGGAAAGATAGAAGGGCACAGCTGTGGACAGTGAATCTGTAACTATGAAACACTGGCCAATATTATCCCTCCTTTTTCTACAGAAGGCATGCATCAATCCATGTGCTATGGATATGGCTTTGGAGAGGTTCTGCAGCTTGCAGGAGAGAATTCTCTGAATTAAAGCCCATGCAACACCCATATGCCTAGTGCCTAACAGTATGCCTCATCATCTCCATCACTGCTTGTCATCCCTTCAACGGCTTTGGAGAAATAACAAAACCTTAAATCAGATTTTTTCCCCCCTGAAGATAATAAAAATACGTTAACATTGCCAGATGCTGTTGACTTCAGTAAGAGTAATCACTGCAAGCTGTTGAGGAGAGACAGACAATATTTTCATTAGCAGAAACTGATTAAATGATTAAGAGAATAGTCCCAAACTGCTGAACAACCATGTTTAATAAATAACACAGACCTTGGGATATGGGAGTCTAATGGTCTTTGGATACTGCAGGGTGTCTTCTGCATAAAAGGAATACTCCATAACAGGAACTTCTGTGTCATTAAACTCTGCATATGCTAGAAAACTGGCATTTGGAGACCACCACAGAGCAGAGTGGGTGCCAAACATTTCCTCTGAAAGAGATGCAAAGGCGTTCTTTTGAAGTAATAGCTGCTAAATTGGCTTCTGCAACGGAATTATTGTTCTAATTTGTATTGCGCAGATTTATGCTGAAGTTCAGCTACCAAAGTACAGACTATTTGCCTGTGTTCTAGAATGACGCAGTAAAAGAATGCTTACAACAGATAGACTTTTATAGTTATACTTCCTGATTTTGGCTGCAGTAATGAAAAAAAATCTGTACTGGGTGTTAGTCCTGTAATTGTTCATACACTCCAATTAAAAATAAAATTCATTTTCAGTAACATAAAGCCATGACAACTTTATGATTAATAAAGTCCCCAAATAAGCTTTCAAACTTATAACTAAGTTATCTGGAAGTAAAGCAGATCTACTTCCAAATACGAGGGTATGTGTACACTACAGAGGGTTTTTTTTTGGAAAAACAACAATTTTTCTGAAAAAACTTGAATTACGTCCACACTGCAATCACATTATTTTGAAAGAAACTTGAAGGAACAGAGGGGTTTTTCCGACACCAGTAAACCTCTTTCTATGAGGAAGAAGCCTTTTTCCAAAATAGTTCTTTCGGAAAAAGGCGTGTGTGGATGGGGAAGAGGGAGATCTTTCGAAAGAAGAGGAAAAAGCACAGGTGCCCTGGTGGCCACTCCATCCATAGTAATCACAGCTTAAATGTGAGATAGTGTCCATTCAGTGTGGATGCTATCTTTTGAAAAAGCAGATCGCTTTTATGATTCGCTTTGGCAGTGCAGACGCTCTCTTTCAGAAGTAGTTTTTTCAGAAGATCTCTTCCGGAAAAGCTTCTTCTGAAAGAAATCTGCTGTCTACAGGTAGCCAAAGAGTGGAAGGTAAAGCCAGACATTTAAAATGTTAGTATATGTTCCTGTTTTAACCAGTGCACGCAGAAAACAAATATGAATTCCGCAGAGATTTGTGAGCATGGAACCCACTGATCTCTCTGGTTTGACTTTACTGGCATTGCACAGGGTAGAATTTGGCCCAGTATATCTGGACAGCCAGTGAATGGAATGGACATAATTAAAACCAAACGCATGTGGCCTCACTAAATGTTAAACCATTAATGCAGTATTTCTAAAACTTTTGAAAGCTGAGCACCACTTAAGGAAAATGAAGCCAGCTGTGCTCCCACGTAACCTCATGAGGCGTGAAAGATCTAAACACTTTAATTTATACATCTTCCATGATTTCCCAGCTCATCTTTCACACCCATTCCACCTACATTTTGCAGAACACTGGAGTAAATCATAACAGACTTCTTCTTCTTTCCAGCACTCCGATGAACAGCGAAATAGTAAACAATGCTGACATTTTAAATATCCTCGGCATGCAGATGAGCCAGTACTCATTGTTATGAAGGGGAAGTTCACATTTTACAACTACTGTTTCAGGCCTGCTACAAATTCAGGCAGTTGTCACTGCATTGATTACACTCACATTTTGAAAATTCTCTTCATAAGGATAATGGATAGAAACTTAAAAAATCCCCCAAAAGCTGAGACTCTGGGAACAATTTAGACTTCTAGCTCCATTCCTATGCCACACATGGGCTAAGGAAGAACAAGCAAAATCTTTTAGAAAACACCGCATTAATGAAATTTCCATCTTTTAAAAAGTAGGGTTTTCATTTATAATAATACCAAGGTTTTTTATAGAATTTCCGTCCATAACTGTCAAAGTGCTTTGCCTCCATTCTGCATACAGAGAAACTGAAGCATAGAGCTAGGAAGTGACTTGACCAAGGTCACCCAGCAGAATAAAAGTGGCAGAGCTCATTTGCAAAACGAGTATCACACCCACTTTCCTTTTTAAAGCATTTTGATTTCTGTGGCTATAATTCTAGGTGGTGATACCATTTAAGATGCTCTCTTGTCTCCGTGTATTTACTTTTACATATTTTAATCAGACTAACAAATAAGGTTCTGTATTTTCTTGTAAGATAAAATATGCATGTAATTACCTTCATATACCCAGTCGGCTATTCCATTAAAAATTTTATTTTCTTCTCCGTTTGTGGTGATCGGCACACTTGCCGCACCTGGTGATTCTTTTATGTAAACATTATTATTCCAAACGTACGCCTGTAAAAAACCTCAACAACTTAATTATCACAATAGTCACTGTTAAAATGCAATTCTAGAACAAATCACATAGTCCCCTCCCACGGTCATATTTGTCACTCTTTTAGAAGGCAGGCACTGTCTTCGACAGCTATGTTACATTAAACCAGATGCAGGCAATTAACAAATAAAAACATTATTTATTAGTATTAAAGTAATTTGTAACAGAAAACATTGAGGTAGTGAGTGATCTGGCCTGTGGTCATAAATAGAGAGCTAAAGAAAAAAATCATCAGGTGTTGTTAAAATAAAGAGATATCTGTAGCACTTTCCATTTGTTGATCTAAAAGTGCTTTACAAAGGAAGTTGGTATAGCAGGCCACACCAGGAGTAGAATGCAGGTCTCCAAAATTGCAGTTCAGTATTGTATTCACTCAGCTACACTGCCTCCCCTGTATTGATGTGTATTGTGTCTTTAAAGCTCTATTAATATTTTCTTTAGATACAGATTTCTTTCTTTCTTTAGTAACTGTGTTTTAGTCTCACAATGAAAGCTGTAAGCTCTTTCATAAAATATTTGCAAGGGTTTTAAGCTGTCACAGGCATCAACATCCCTTCTAGCTAAGGGATGCTTGACTACCTCCTCCACCCCAAGCCCCACCCTGACTCTTCCCACCCCACTCCCTCCCTCAAGTCCCCATTTCTCCGCCTCTTTGTCTTCTCCCCATCCCGTCTCCCAAACGCATCTCATCCCTGCTCCATCCCCTCCCTCCCAGAACATCTTGCATGCTGCAAAACAGCTATTTGTGGTGAGGGAGGGGCAGGAGTTGATCAGTAGGGCCATCAGTGGGCAAGAGACACTACAGTGAGTTGGGAAGAGGGGAAAGCTTGGCTGCTGGTGGATGTTGACTATTCACTAATTTATCTCAATTAATGCTTAAAGAGTTAAATGATATAATTTTAAACATTTAAATGGTTAACTTTTAAAATCAATATTTATATTCCTCACTCTCTAATATCAAAGAGAAAACTCACATGGGTAGTGACCCTGTCCCTTTGTTTTTTGTGGGAAGAAGCTATAAGTATGGACACGGAAAAATTCTTTGCCTCTGGACTGTTTGGAGCTGAACAGAGCAGGAAAACTGAAAAGGAAGACAGAGATCCACAGAGCAACAGAGCTACTATGGATAACCCCGAGAGCCTTTGGGAAATCTAACCTAACACTGGAATTATAGCAACTCACCTGAATACATAGTTTGCCTGCTTATCCTCTCAATAACTCTCATTTCTTTATCCTAGCTTATAAACATTTAGTTCGTGTATAACAGTGTTGTCCTTGCTGTGAGATCTAGGATATAAACTGACTTGTGTGAATGACTGGGGACTGGGTATAATCTATGTTGTCATGTATGGTATAAGTAAAAATCCATCATATAGTCTAGTTTGGCTAGGTGACAAAAAAGACTAGAGTGTCCATGAGAACAGTCTTGACACCATTATCAAACTATTGTAATGCTTCAGGAGTTCACATTTGTTACTGAGCTGTTGAAATTTAATTATACAGCATACCAAAAGTTTGGGGTGTCTGCCCTGCTTTTGACAATCTGTCCTGTAATAGGCACTCCTGGTCATAAGCAACTCCAAACAATGTGACAATGGCATTGGAAATGCACTGCAGACATTTCAATACAGTTATATTTACTGACCAGTTTGTGACCAACAGGTGACCAGGATATGTACTGGGTATCATTAGGCAGTAGATTCTCAGTTACTAAGGATCTAGGGAAAAACAAAACAAAAAGTATATAAGACAGATAAATCAGTGAAGTGTCATTTTATTGCAAAGTGGCTTTATTGTATATGCATTGCCCGTAATAGCTACTGACCTGCTTTGTATATCATAGATGTGGTATGAAGCTGTGTATGAATGCCTCCAGAGCTGCAAGAGAACCAATTTTATTTTGAGGATCTCTCTCACTATGATTGATTTTAGGAGCCCTGTGAATGTGTTATAAGTTCCTGGCAATAATATTGGACACCTCCTCAGACTCTCATTGGAAGAGGTGAACACAACCACCAGGCATTGACAACTACCAATGGGTTAGACCAGTGGCCTCCAAACTTTTTAAGCTCAAAATCACTTTTTGAATGTAAGTGTAATGTAAGATCTACCTCAAATATAAATGCCCTTGCCCCGCCTCCTTCGTTCCCCTTCTCCAAGGCCCTGCCCCTGCTCCCTCCATCCTCCCTTCCTCCCTCCCCCATTCTCCCTCCCTTTCACCAAGCAGGGGCAATAGGTTGGGACACAGGCTCCGGTCTTGGGCTAAGGGGTTTGGAGCATGAGGGGGCTTTGAACTGAGCCTGCGGCATGGAGTTGGGTTGTAGGAGAGGGTTCAGGGTACAGGCACTATTTCGAGACATCCCTTATTCCTCGTGGAATGAGGTTTATGGGGATGCCAAAATAGCATGTCTGTTATTTCGAACATACTTGCAGTGTAGACATACCCTTAGATAATGAATCTCTGTGATCTATTTGAAGTGATTAAATTCTACAGTGACAGGCATTATAAATATGATGATTAAACTGATGGAGAGATGATCAGATTATCAGACTTAACCAACAGAGCTATAATCAAATGAACACTGACAAAATATTATTAAAACATACTAATTAGAGATGGGTCCTTAACAAAAACCCTGTATCCAAAGACCACTGGGGTTTGGAGTGAGGAGAGGTGGTTTGCCACCTTAATTTTGGAATTTCTAACTTCTGAGAGCTTGATTATGAAATCTTAATAATGTTCTTTTAACAGCTTCATTGTGGGTAATATGCTTTTTTTTTTAACTGAAGCAACAGAAATTCCGTTATGTGGCATCACACTGACATCCCTATGGGCCATGAGCAGAGTGGTAACCTTTAGATAACCACACAGAGCTCTGCCACTAAAGCTAACAGAGTAACTGATAGTAGTAGTATGTTGTCATCCTTAACATGATCTAGCATGAGATGAGAATGAGACACTTTCCCAGTGTGTTTCACAATATTTGCTCACAACAGAGGAATGGTGACACTTAGAAAGTTTGGGTTCCATTCCAGGCTCTGGAGACATGTGTGCTCTAGTGGATACAGACTAAATTTGACCAGCTTCTGTCTCCTCTTATCCAACCTGTTCCCACTCTCACTCTTCTTCACTTCTGGCTCCCAGTCCCTAACTCCACTGCTCAGGCTGTACATTTTAGTTCCAGTCATCAGACCTAGTTAGCTTTGGCCTCCCTATCTGGACTCACTGTTTGAGTGCCAGTCTCCTCCACACTAAGACACAGTTTCTTATCCAGCCTACCCCCCACTTCCCCACCTCCATGTGACAAGACTCCTTGTTCCACTATTCTCCTTTCCCTCCTCCCTGGTCCAGCTCTTCTCCCCCCGCCCTGCATTCAAGTCAAGCAGCTTCCTCTTCCATGCTCCTTTGGGATCATCAATGGGGTTCACTGAAAGCATGGACAGACAAGTTCCCTTGATCTGATTTCTACAGCCTGGCCTCAGCCCTGCCTGGAGCAACCATTAAATTAAAAGTCCAGCTTTACCTCTGGTATCCTGGGCTGGAGGTGGCATGTTCTGTTGTTCTGTGGGGATTGCGCATGTGTAGTCTGATCAGCACTAAGAGCTCTGAGAGGCTCAAGCATTCTCCATGAAAGGATGGAATCTTCAGAGATTCTAGCCACTAAAACCTAAGTGGTTTCTTAAGTGTGTGCAACCTGCAATTTTTCAAAGGCCCTATAACTTGGCCAAATTTGGATGCAATTTCACAGCAAGAGACAAAGGTACATCCCTGACACAAAGGCACCACATGCCAAATACCAAATCTGTGCTTAAAAGCTCAGAAGCAATAGTATTTCTCAGAGAAAAGGTCACCAGAATATTTTTAACATGGACAAAACAATATATTTCTCTGATTGTATTTTGAGAAATGGGTGCATTTAGCTGAAATTGTTCAGACTTTAAACTGAAGCAGACAATTGGCATAAAAAATCAGCTAAAACTGTAAAGTTTGGCAAAGTTATCAGCAACTGAAAGTTAAGTCTTATAGTGGGAAGTATTGGACAACTTTAAAAGGTAGTGCTGCCAGCCAGCCCTGCCTATCAGACCTGTCTGCACCAACCAAAAGATTAAAATGAATCCAAATTTTGGTAAATGAGAGTTCTCATTCTCCCCTTTTTCTGTCTTTCTATAAAATATAAGAGGCATACAAAAGAAGAAGAAAAAGAAATGCACTAATACCTTTACATAGTTGTATTGAAAAAGAGCAAATTTTTGGTCAGGAGATAAGATAGCTGTGGTTACTCCATACGTGGCCTGTCAACAAAAGGATGGAGAAAAAAAAACACACATGCACTGATTATATAGGTAAAAACAAGGAGCAATGCTTTCCCCAAAGTCTGAGATGTACTCTATCTGAGCAAACATACTAATGTGGTATTTTTCAGAACTTCTGAGAGTGTTTGATCATCAGCATTTATGAGCACGATGTCATTGTCAGCAGTTTTGTGCAGGTATTCATTTCCTAATGGGACAAGAAAAATGTCACTGAGTAACAAAAAAATGAAAATGTTTCTAAACATTTACTATTTTCCATCTAATATCACAGAGTAGGAGGTCTATATAAAACAAAGCAATTCAAATTCTGGACCTTTATATAGTGGGAAGAGGGACAAGCTGCAGGAGCCAATAGGAATTACAGTCCCCATTTTTAGAGGAGCACAAGTTCCTCTAAAATGTCAACTCCTACCTTAGTCCTCTAGGGAACCGAGCATAGAAAAAGGGAAAGGAGCCTTGCTCTATTTCTTTCTGCTCCCCAAACTGACCCAAGAAGTAGGATGGATGCACAGGGAGGAGTGTGTTGTCTCCTATAGAAGGGTATAGCAGCAGATCTCCTCTTCTAGCATCCAGGGGGAGATCTGCCTCCCCATCATCAGCAACACAGGGATGAGCCTGAAGGGTACAATTAAGTCCTCTGTTTTCCATTATTTTAATTCTGTTTTGGGTCTTACTGATGTCATTCTACAACAATAACCTAAAAAACATTCACACTTCACCACCACATATCAGCTACCTCTGAGCATTTAAGTAAGTACAGCCTGCCCCGAACATGAACATCACATAACAGAGGTAAAGACAGGACTATGCAGCACTTTAAAGACTAACAAAATGGTTAATTAGGTGATGAGCTTTCGTGGGCCAGACCCACTTCCTCAGATCAAATTGTGGAAGAAAATTGGCATGACCATATATACCTTTTGGTCATGCCAATTTTCTTCCACAATTTGATCTGAGGAAGTGGGTCTGGCCCACGAAAGCTCATCACCTAATAAGCCATCTTGTTAGTCTTTAAAGTGCTGCATAGTCCTGTCTTTTGTTTCAGCAAGACCAGACTAACACAGCTACATCTCTATTACTATATCAGAGGTAGGCAGAGATAACATTCTATCAGGACAGACTGATTTACCTGAAATCCATTGTAAATTATGTGTTTTGTATTTAATTTCACCATTTAAATAATCCTCTAAGGTAAATGTTCTACGTGAGTCAGATTTGGCACCTGCATCTGGAAGAAAGGAAAGAAAGATGTGGATAATGTTGTGACTTACTCAGCCAAACCTAAAAATTGGTGTGTCTTTGTGGCAGATATACTAACACTTTAACTATCCTTGTGTAAAATCCTAGTGGAGATAAGGTACTGTAGCTTTACTGTGAAGAAAGTCATCAACAGGGGCTAACATGCTGACCTTGCCAAGCCACCCTATGGCAAAGGCCCCCAGTGCCTGGTCTCCAAAAGGATTTTACAGTGAAATAACAATGTGCAATAGTGATGTCCCTGTAAAAACACCCACTTCTGTTACAGAGAAAATATAACTTGAATTCTCTACACTCCCTAGCTTATAAAAAGTGAAGCCACTTATTAAAAAGCGAAAGAACCAATCTTAGTTCTCCTCCCTTTTGTGCCTACTCTTGGAATTCATTATTAACTGTTTGCTTTAGACACCTGTTATGGGCTTGATCCTGCACAGCACAGGTGCACAAGGTAAAGAGTGATGGGCAGATCAGGAAACAAGATAAGGCTAAAATCTCGGTTAATCAGGCAACCAGTTGAAAAATAGGTTCACCTAACATTTAACGGGTTAACTGACTAAGCAGGAACCAGGCTGTGGACCACTTCAGCCCCCAAGGCTCCTGCCCGCAGCCCCTTTCATATCCCTGCTCAGTACCCCATTTGTATGCTGAGTATCACACTCAAACCCATGTCTCCTGAGACTCACCCCCACTTAGGCCACTATTTGTATTCCTCATTCTTTTGAGCTCACACAAGGCTTGAGACCTATTACCACTTAGGGCAGGGCTATTCTAGACCTGGAATATCAGGTTAAGGTAGGTAAGGGTATGTCTACACTGCCACTCTAGTTCGAACTAGGGTGGTAGTGTAGACATACCCTAACTCTAGCTACATACAGTTTGTAGCTGGAGTCAGTCTGCCTTAACCCAAGCTTGGTGCTGTCTTTACAGAGGGAGGGCGATGAGAGCAAATGCTCCTGTTGGCTTCCTTTACTCCTTGCAACTGTGAGCAGTATAGGCACCTGCCAGAGATGCCCTCAGTGTTTGATTTATGGGGCTTAACTAGACCCACTAAATCAAACACCATAAGATCAACCTCCGGTGCAGCAAGTGAAGATGTGCCCATATTGCAGAGCTGAGGAAAGTATGCCTGTGGGCCAGATCTGGCCTGAGGACACAGCAGGGAGCCCTAGGCAGGATCCCCCCCGCAAAGCAGCTGCCGGGCTGTTTCTCTTTCATCACTGTGAGCTTAGAGGGAAAGGGGAGAAAGCTTCATGTGCTGCCCTTGCTCCCAGCAAAATCCCATGGGTTAGTTTCTGGCCAAAGGGAGCTGTCTGTTTGAAAGACAGGCAGCACATGAAGTGCCAGGCAGCACATGCAGCATCATCTGCATGTGTGAATAACTATTAGATGGAGGGGAGGGGAGGCTGGGACAACAGAGGAAACCCCTCCCCTCCGGCTAGTAGTTATTCACACACACAGATACTCCTTGCAGCCTACGCAAGGGTGGGGCAGGCAGGGAGGCTGACTCAGGCAGGGAGTCACTCAGATAAGTCTCCCAGTCAGAGCCTTCTTCTGGCACTCCAGCCCCTTCCTGCCCCCCCAACTCTCTGTCTCCCGTCTCCTGCCTCCCTCCCCCACATAACCCAAACCCTCTGCCCCCCTCCCAGAACGTGCACCCCAATCTTCTGCCCCAGGTCACAACCCACTCCTGCCCTAGGTCACAACCCAAACCCCAGCATCTCAGTCCAGTGCCCCAGGTCACACCTGCCTCCTTCACCCAAACTCCTTCCCAAACCCCACACTCCTTCCTGCACCTTAATCCTTTACCCCAAGCTCCCTTCTGTACCCAACCTATGCAATCACACACCCCCAGTCCAAATTGAGAGGGCCATATAGTCAAACCCTAAGTTTGGAATTCAAATCCAGTCCTCCTGAATAGTGGTGAACAACTCTGTCTCAGGGTATGTCTACACTACCACCCTAGTTTGAACTAGGTTGGTTAATGTAGGCAACCTGAGTTGCATTTGAATTTCCCCTCGTGGAACGAGGTGTACCAGTAGTTCGGAATAGGAAGCCTAATCCGAACTACCTAGTTCGTGCCGCGTGTAGCCGCGGGCATGGAGTCTGAACTAGCGGACATTTAAAAATGGCGGCACCTGGCAATATGCAAATGAAGCCCGGGAAATTCAAATCCCAGGCTTCATTTGCAACTCCGGTTGCCTACATTAACCACCCTAGTTCGAACTAGGGTGGTAGTATAGACATACCCTCAGAGTCACTGAGCTGGTCCCAGAGGTACTTTAGCTCCTGTATATCTTAACATCTGGACTAAAGTATAGACCATAACAGATTATGATACTGAATTAAGAGTCATCCACCCAGTTCAAGAACCACGCCCCCCCGGTGGGATGGTCATTCACCACCCAACTACATTGTAATCTTTCCATTAGTTTAACGGGACTAGGATCACGGGATCTAGCCCTCACCACTGAGCCTTCATGAGTGGATGCAGAGTTGTCTGACTTGGAAAATTACTTTAATGTAAATTGTTTCTGTATGCAATATAAAACCACACATTATAATGGTAAATGCTATTAAAGTTCATAATTATATGTAGAATGTATCATTTACTTTTGGCTAAATCATTAACAAACACAACTCTCATAAATGGTTCAAATGAAACACAGCAGTTCTGCAGTGGAGTTTATTGCTCCTGGTTCTGAAAAACGTAATTAAGTCATAAACACTTACTGAGCAGGTTACTGATTAATATTTATGCTCTTCAATGAAGGCAGGATGTATACAGCTTATACAAGGATACTGTGGTGTGAACAAAGTGCCCTAACAACTGCAACCACTGCAGAAATAGGCTGCAATATTAAAACTGAATAGCAGAGTAAATTTTTTTGTCATTGACTTTGATTGGGCAAGGATTTCACCTTTCATGTAAAGTACTTTTCTTTCCTTTAAAACCTGTATTTTCTATAGGTTTCAGAGCCCCTGCCACCCTGTGCTGCTGCCTCTGATACAGCCTGCCACACTGCACTGCTGCTCTGCAGCAGCAACCCCTGTCTGTGATTGGTCCAAGCTCCCCTCGGACAAAGGCCAGAGCAGCCTCTATCTGTGGGGAGCTCAGACCCCCACAGACAGGGATTGCTGCCACAGAGCAGCCTCTATCCATGGGGGGGCCCAGGCTTGCTGCAGACAGGGGCTGCACTGTGGGATGCCACAGCAGCCGCTTCAGAAGTGGTAGTGAGGTGGAGGAGGCAGGTCTGCAGAGTTGGCATGCATGGAGGATGAGGGGGAGCAGGTGGGAGGAGGGGGGCAGGTAGGTCTGCAGAGCTGGCATGCACAGAGAGTCACTTAAAAGCTGGCTTTCCATGTGTATCGGCTCCCACCTGCACTCCTCACCCTGCGTGCTGCTGTACCAGCAGGTTTAAAGTTTACTCCCACAGGCACCAGCTCCAGCTACTTCCCCACTTGCTACAAGGGTGGAGGGAAACGATTGTAGCCTAGGTTTATCAGTTAATCATGTAGTCACCTACATGCTGACATCCCTATTTCAGAGTACCAGCCACTAACTAATTTTTGCAAACTCTTGAAGGTGACTGAAAAGAAAAAAAAACAACTAATTGGTTTGTGCCTTTCCTTGCTTCTTATTGCTTTATGAAGGGGGCCTAAAACTTTGGAAGTCATGTCTATCTCACCTGCTTTTCCTGGAAGCAGGGTTGCCAGATGGTTTCAACAACAATACCGGATATACTTGACATTACATCACAATCTACATTACATTTATATTTTCTCATTTATAATTTCTCAATTTGTTTCCCAAACAGAAAGCTCAAATACTGGACTGTCTGGTTCAAAACTGGACACCTGGCAATCCCTAGCTGGAAGGCTCTAAGGATGGCTGGAGAGTGATTTTTATTTAAAAAAAAAAGGAAGTGATTTTTATTTAAAAAAAAAAAGCTTATTATTAATATCAGTTTAAATAAAAAAATTTAACACTTGGGAAAAACTCTTAACTGAGAGCTAATTAAAATCCCACCATTAATTCTAAGACCTTCTCATCCAGGTCAGGCAGAGAAGGCTAGATTTGCCATTTCAGATATTTTTAAGAGACAAATACCTCTCTGGCCCTTCTTTACATAAAATAAAGAAGCAAAAAAAACACACACACACCTTTTTTTTTTTTAAATCTACATAGGTCATTTTTAAATACATGCAAGAAGGTAGAATATGGAAGATGAGTGTAAGAGATTTAATGATTTTGTAATCATGTTTAATCTACTTGAATATTTCAAACAATAAGCATATGCATTATTATAAGCAAAGCGAAATTAATAGATTGTAACAAATAATTTACTCGATGAATTTAGTTTAGGATTTTCAATTATACTAAAGAGAACCTTGTTACACAAGAGTAAAGATCAGATTATCACAACAGTCCCTTTGCCACTGAAATTTATCCATTAAGTATTCAACTCCCACTGAAGTTCAGTTCTTTGAAAAATCCTACTCCTAGTCTCTCTCACTTTATGGAGAGTCCATGAACAGAACATGGTTCCTTAGA